CCTATAAGAGTTTATGGACAACAGGGGTGAAAATAAATAAATTAAAGGAAATGCATCGCACGGACGCCTATACCTTTTCATTGACGAAACGGGGAAGGGGGGGGGGGCAGGAAGGATTTTGTGTGTGTATCCGTTATATGGAGGGTGGCCCTATAAGAGTTTATGGACAACAAGGGTGAAAATAAATAAATTGTGGAAGCACCGTGTTCAAATTAAAATGAATAAATAAGATCATTTTTAATGGGAAATAAATGTGTATATTCACTAACAGCTTCGAAACAACCATGCCGACTTTACGCGAAGGTAATGGTGAAGGGTGTAGGACGAAAATATTGACTCACTTTTGCTAATACTAATAGCCAATGCACACATCTGGAAAAAAAAAAGGGGGGGGGGGCGCGTAAATATTATGATGATATGTTAAGAGGGTGTCTACATTTGTGACGAGTTCGTGTGTGTGTGGGCAATGTTCCCTCTAAGGTTTGTTGGTTCGTGTGCAAAATCATAAAGCTGTGTGCAAATTTTACAGCATCAATTTTTTGTGAGCAAAATTGTACAGCCTACAGACACACTTAAGTGGAAATTAGCTGCGCGGTACTCAAAACTGCTGCGCGGCGTCTGTGAGATTGCTGCGCAGCTTTAAGGGAACATTGTGTGTGGGGGGGAGGGTAATAGCATGACATCATTTATGTAGCCCACCCCCACCCAACACTGTACTAACGGCTTCAATACAAACTTCACATATATAACGACAACATTCAGTTACCACGGGCGTGATTTGGAAATTAATAGACCGTAAAATGACGTCAGTATTTACAAATGCAGTGTTGACTCGACAGTTTCGGGACTCCAACACTTGCCCCACAAACGACCCCAAACCTACATTCCGCTTGTCGTGACGCAGTGAAGAAAAAAAAAACCGAGAGAAATAGAGTGGGACCAGGTCAGGATGTCATTCTGTTCCGGGTTTTCGCCCTATTCTTATATAGGTCCGCCTATGACCTGTGATGCACCCTCCTTGCCCTGCCTCATTTTCTGTCTCGGGTTGATCCTGTAGTATAGGCCAAAACTTGCCAAAGTGTATATATTTCTATAGTCATTTTTATTGTAGTTACTATTCTAGTGTCTCTGTTTTTTTCCCTTATTTTACTTTAGCACAGCGGTTCTCAACCTGTGAGTCGCGACCCCTTTGAGGGTCGCACAACCCTATCCCAGGGGTCGCCTCAGACCATTTGAAAACACATATGCTCTATATTTATGAAGTAGCAATGAAAATAATTTTGTGGCTGGGGGTCGCCACACCATGAGGAACTCTATTAAAGGGTCGCGGCATTACAACGGTTGAGAACCACTGCTTTGGCAGTTTAAATAGTTTACATATTTTTTAATAATTGTAAAGCGCTTAGCGCTGTAAGGTAAGGGCTATAAAAAATGCCTAAATAAATAAAAAAATTAATATTTCAAACAACCCTACCTCCCGCCCCATTCACGTTTCCCCGGCTCCCTCGTGCGTACATATTAGTTATGACCTTTTGAGTCGATAAGCTACGTATAAAGCTGTGGTATATGTTGGAAACAGATTTAATTTTGGGTAAGATATGCTGAAAATGTGTGGCCTGTTATTGATTAGGAACAGAAATTACCAATATCAGTGAAAGCAGCCATCGTAATTAATGGTCAGGCTCGTGTGTGTGTTCATTTTCTTTCTTATTGGACCTCTTTAGTAAGGCCCTATTTGCATATCTACCAATGAATTTAATGCTTGATTCAAACAAAAGTAGTAGTAACTAGTGGAGTGGCAAGGGCTAGCAGCGCCGTAGAGTGACACAATAGCCACACAACCATGACCACATATCTATGTGGAGAGTGACACAATAGCCACACAACCAAGACCACATATCCATGTGTAGAGTGACACAATGGATAAAAAATGTGGGTTTATTAAATGCACAACATAAAACCGATGCTGAGATCTTTCCATGGCCAGTGTCTGGTTATTTTACGAAAACATCATATTATTATGTTCTCATCTGAATGGTAGTACGGACAGAAGGGCATAGTAGTAAGTCCAGTCATTTGTGTCAATCTGGGACTGGTCCAAAGGGGTGTAATAGATAAATATATATGTAAAATTAATCGATTGAGAGTGGATCCCCACTTCCACTGATCTGCCACAATTAATTATTGTTAAATAATACAGCAGAAATCATCCCCATTTCTAGATCCAACCATTTGTTGTTCAAACCAAACCATCGTCTAATTCATCTGCAGCAATTTCATGAATGAACTTGACTTCAATGGTCTGTAAACGTTTTTTTAAAAGGGAACTGCTCATTGGTTATCACTGTTATTTTTGTGTATCTTTGGGCCCAACCTGTCCCCCCCCCCCCCTTATTTTACCATGTACAGTAGAAACCATTGTTAACCAATTATTTTACTTTTTACAACAGTAACCCTTTTTAACCAGTTAATTTAAACGTTTTTTTAAAAGGGAACTGCTCATTTGTTATCACTTTTATTTTTGTGTATCTTTGGGCCCAACCTGTCCCCCCCCCCCCTTATTTTACCATGTACAGTAGAAACCATTGTTAACCAATTATTTTACTATGTACAACAGTAACCCTTTTTAACCAGTTAATTTACCATTTACAACAGTGGCCCTTTTTTACCAGTTAATCTACCATTTACAACAGCAACCCTTTTAAACAGTTAATTTACCATTTACAACAGCAACCCTTTTTAACCAGTTAATTTACCATTTACAATAGTAACCCTTTTTTACCAGTTAATTTACCATTTACAACAGCAACCCTTTTAAACAGTTAATTTACCATTTACAACAGTAACCCTTTTTTACCAGTTAATTTACCATTTACAACAGCAACCCTTTTAAACAGTTAATTTACCATTTACAACAGTGACCTTTTTAACCAGTTATTTTACAATATACAACAATGACTTTAATGTAAACTCAAGTATGTTAAAGCGTCTCTTATTAGATGTAATTATTATTATAATAAAAATGTGAAATATGTACAATACTCTTAGAGGGAGGCCATGTCAGAGAAATGTGGAAATAAGTTTATTAGCCAGTGCACTACATGGCCAGTGCACTACATGGCCAGTGCACTACATAGCTAGTGTACTAAAAATACCCAAAAACTGAGAATAAGATATAACAAAATATTTTTTTTTTAAATTGAACAAGATTTTGTTAAAATAGTTGCCACTAAGTCACAACACTTGGTCCAGTGACTTTGTTGTCGCCATAGGCTAACTTGGTCTGATTTTGTAGTTTTCTCCCTTAACATAACCCATGATTTTACTAACTGCAGAAAAAAAATTGGGGGTGGGGGATACTGATGGGATCTTTCTTGAGCAATAAAATCTGAATTTACCTTCAGCTGTGTTGTATGTTGTTTATTATGTTGTTTTTTTGTTTTTGTTTTTTTTTGTGGACATCAAAGGTGAATAAAAATTGAACCCACTTCATTAAAATGTATAAATTAGCACACTTCTTAGAGAAAACACTATCTTTTTAAATTGAAATCATAGAAGCCCAGGGAGCAGTGGCATGGCTAGGGTTGGTGCCTGCTTGGGACAAGCTGTTTGCTGCACCCACTCTGCCTTTCACCATGAAAATACTCTGTAGTTGGACAAAAATGTCACCCCTCTATATAAAGAAAAAAATTGCATACAGCCTCTTCCATGCCCCTCTCCCCACTCTTTACTATGTCACTGCCAGAATGGTTTAAAAGTTTTCCTCTTAATAGTTTAATTAGTGTAAAAAAAATGTTTATTTTATATCTAGTTTTATTTGTTTTTATCTTTACAAACAAATCACTCTTATTTATCATTGAATTTATAACATCTGCGAAGTTTTAAAAAATAACCATGAAAGAGAGTTGTCCTGAAATATTATGGGCCTTACCGTAGGAATATCTATGTTATTCTATATGGTTCCTAACAGAGTTGTGAGAGGGGAGGATGTGTGAGAGAGATGGGGAGTTATTTATTTACTCTGCAACAAGAAAGGAAGAGAGTGGGGGAAGAGTGAGATAGGAAGGAGAGAGAGAGAGATAAAAAGTGGGAGTTATTTATTAATTACTCTGCAACATGGTAGGGAGACAGGGAAGGGGAGAGGGGGAGAAGAGTGATATAGAGAGGAGAGGAGAGAGAGACAAAAAGTAAAAGGGAGTTGTTGAATTACTCTGAACCCGGAAGTGTGACATTTAAAAATCACCAGTACAACTTTGAAGGACCAAATTTATTTAGTTTAAAGAGCAAAAAAAAAAAGAAAACAATTTTTGTCTAAACACTGCAGATGGTATGTAGCAGTAGCAGATTTAAAGAGAGGGAACAATACTTTTATTGTCATTTTCCAGCTACATAAAGTGCTTGGCAAACAAATGCTTTTAATAATTTTAGGCTTTGGAAATTTAGAAGAAAATGTTGATGGCATGAGGGATAAGCAGTTGCAAACAAAAACACCTAGTGAAAATATTGAGATAGGGAAATAGTTTTATAATACTGAGAATATTTTGAATTGTATTTCCGCTGAAGTAATTAACAAGGTTGCAAATGGACAAACCAACTGTTTGTTTTTACAGTGTCATCTCATCCAGTGTTATTCTTGTGATCTATCACATAACAATGTTAAATGCTGAGTCTGGTTGGCATAACATAACTCTGCTGCATTACCTCTCTTTAACCGCCACAATTTTTTAATCAAAACAATGATAATTTCTCAATTTGTCACAGTGCTTACAGAAATACAGAGAGAAATATGTTGGTTTAATGACAGCTTGAAGAACAGATTTTAAAATAAATTGGAGAAATGATAAGCAGAGTAAGGGGTGAAAAAATGAATTCAGTTATTGTCTAAGAATACTTACCAAGTCTGTTAAAATGCTGATGTGCGCAGCAAAGGCCATTCTTAACAACCATATTAAGCAAATAGTGCTTCATGTGCAGGAAGCCAAGTTGATCTGTAAGGCTTGCATTACTGCGGCCCTGGTCTTTCAACTCCCCTTTCTTCTTGCTGAATAGTATTGGAAAAATAAATGGTAATTACACCTGCGTCCACAAGGGGAAATAATTCTGAATTATGCTTAAGTTTCCTTTTATTTGAGCTGCAATCACATCTTCATCATAAATAGATTTCAGCATAAAATATTGCGAATATTGTTTCAGCTAGAAAACAAACTCTTTAACACAATGACATGTTTTGAAATCCTGTTTAAATCCTACCACTTTTTAATTTTTGAAAGCTTTAAAAAGCAGTAAAAATTGTTATTATATAATAATAATAGCTCATAGCTTAATTAAGATATTATGTGGTTTTTTTTTAATTAAGATGGGGCAAAACAATATTCTGAGAATAATGTTAAATATGATTATATCTCCATCAATTTTAATTTTAAAGGCCAGTTATTTAAATATAGATATATATCACTTGACCTAGACACTTCATTTAGTGGCTGGAAAAAATTAAAACAGGATAGAAACATCATGTCATTTGTGGAAAGGAGGGGGGGGGGGGGGTTTGCACCACTAAGTTAGTGAGTTGTTACATTAAACCTCTGCAGAAAACTGGTGTTTACTTGATGTTTATTAGAGTAATTATTGCAGCAATTGCAGCAATTTATCATTTTAACATTCTTAAAACACATTAGGATACTTAGAAACAAAATATATTTTTGTATTGGCCTGTTATATTGCTGTATAGGTTAGGCTATCAAATGTATAGTAAATTAATGTAAATACCTAGAATCAAAGGCTTCATGTTTTTAACCCTTTCCATACCAACTGGGTGTAATACACCCAGAGACAGACTGGGATTGCTGATATTTCAAGTTTCCTTTAAATAATCTTTTTCATACTCGACCTAATCCACAAGGTAGTTGGAATTAACACCTTGGTGGATTCAATTGTATAAAGCAAGTGAAAGTGACTTACTTTTGGGGGCCTAAAATTTTTTTCTACAGTCCGTAGCAACTGGGTGTAACACACCCGTGTATAATTTAATAGAAGAAAAAAGCATCTAAACTGGCTTGTGAAAATTTTTGCTTGTTAATTATTGAGTCTGTGTCATTACTGTCATCCATAAAATAGATTTTAAATTTTGACAATAAATAAATATTCTGAATGAATTTGGGTATCAAGAATAACATGTATTCAACTTGACAACACTGAAGAAATACTAGGTGATTACCAATGTGAATTCAGGCCTAACAGATCAACGACTGATCAAAAAAGGGAAGGCTACACTGGGCAGGACACCTAGAAAGAATGCCAAATGACAGAGGAACGAAGAGTGTACATCACCAATACCCGAGAGGAAAAAGGCTCAAAGGCAAACCTAGGCTTAGGTGGATAGATGATGTGGAAAATGATCTACAGCAGTTGAAAGTCCAAGCATGGAAAAGAAAGGCATTAGTTTGGTCTGAGTGGAAGGAAGTGGAGAGGCAGGCCAAAGCCCTAGATGGGCTGTAGCGCCACAGGGATGGATGGATGGATTCAACTTGACAAACCATTTCAAAACGGAACAGTAACATGAACACATGGAAAATAGGGGTTTTGTGGCACAGCTTGGACAGTTTTTACATAAAAGAACAAAATGTCTAGTAAACTTGCTGAGTTGAAGTGGTTGGACAGCTGTTTGAAGTGTTTGTAAAGATTTCAAAACACTGGCAAAGTTCTGCCACACAATATCTTGATGCGTGGGATCCCCTCTACTTGGGGAAGGGTAATGAAATTTGCAATGTTAATATTGACAGTCTGTTTTCTTCATGAGACAGTGAGTTAGTAGGATATTCATATTTAAATGCCACTCTTGCTGCAATTGTTGCCAAGTCAACAATGTTGCAAAACACAACCAAAGGCCATCTTTTACTTTTATTTTTTTTTGTATTCACAGAGAACACATTCATCTTTTGGTCCATGACGAATATGCCTTCTTTTATTTTGTTGTTATTGAGCACAATTTCTGGTTTCTTACATTCAGTTTCACTTTCTATATCTGGTCAATTGTGTATTGTGTCCAGGAGCAATAAATTTTTTCTGCTTCGAGCTCTGGTATTTGACAAGGTTGCTTCTAGTCTGAACAAAAACACTGATTTGTTTAGGGGCACAGCCTTCATTTGCTTGAACCCCTTGAGTAGAAACATCTTGCTCTGTTTCACTGTTCCAACTAGTGTAAGTATGTTCTTGGCCATTGGTTCTGAAAGTTGTAGGGGAATGAAATCTTCTTCTATATCTTAAGGGCCCACGATCAATTTATTGATCATTTTGGCTCCTATGCATGTAGATTTGCCTGGGAGTATTTAGCGACAGCGTCTCTATGAACTTGGGGATTTTACTGGCGCTATTTGGTGGAAGCGTCGTGAAGTTGTTTCAGTCTAGGACTAGAAATAGTAGCCTGTTCTGAAATTTTGGCCAATTTTATGCAAATGCAAGTCCCTTGTGAGAGAAATCACAGTCTCTGTGGATATTCCAACATTTCTCTTTGCTGGCAGGGCACTTGCATTTTACTTTGCCGATTCACAGACCCAGGAGATTTGTATTCCATATTTATCAAGCTTGCTTTGCATATATTGAAAAAATCTGCACTGACCTCTGAAACCAATCAGTTCCTCACCTACTGTGATGTTCTCTCCAAGAACATAACATCTCGCCAAATTACTCAGGAATGCTTCTCATACATCTCTTGGTTGTCAAAACAAATATGAATAAGAAGTTTGCTGAATCTCATCATTGAAAATGTGCCCTAAAAATAGGATTTCGATTAACATGGCTGAATAAAAATTCCCACTAAAATGCTGTTGAGATGGACATTCCCAGTGTGGAGTAGTAGTAGTAGGCAGCCAAAAAAGCTTTTATAGATCGCACCATTCCTTTGTCATTGTCTCCTCTTACTTTCTCACTTTCCTTGATGGTGCAGTCAACTATTGTTTGTATCATTTTTTCATTAATTCAAAATTCTTCAGTGGGAGAACTATGTGATCCGTGAAGGGAGTTTGGTTTCAAGGTAACTATATCATGCCACATAGTAAAAAAGAAAATTTACTGTAAAATAAGACTATGGGTGTAACCCACTGAGTTGCCAGGAATAGCTAGTAACACTTTTCCCCATCATAATAACATAATAAGTGTAAGGGTGTGCTACACCATGTTGCTAGGGTCGGGGTACACAACATGTTGAGGTGGATAGTGTTAAATCTTTTTTTTTTTTAGATTTAACTTGGAAGTCCTGGTATTATCTATCATTTAGATACAAGATGACTATACATAACATTTATTTGCAATCAAACAAGGTAACTCACTAGTATTTGTCCATGAGCTCTGAATTGTGGACCATCTTCACAGAGATCACCTCAATTTCACTCATGAAATTTGTGTTCAAGCAATGCTTATTGATATCAAGGAGCAGCTCCTTTACATCTCTAGTATTGAGGCCCACTATTTGGAGGTTGTCTAGATAATTGAAAGAAAAATTATCATCATATTTGGTCAATGAATGTTAGTGAATTAAATGGTTTGAGATCATGCATTTAAAAGAAGACAGCTATTTTAGTATCCCTACTACTAGGAAGGTAAGATTTTGTTCTTCTTCAAAATTAGCTTGTATAATTAATAAGTTAGTTGTTTGTTTTTTTTAATTAACAAAAAACATTCTATACCCTATATTCATATAATTGTTAAGATTTATACTTGGGAGTTGAGCAACTTTTGATTTTTTTTTTTAAACCCTGCCAGGGCTTTAAAATAAGGTCTTACTTTGAAAACTGACAATTCTAAAATTATTTATTTACCACGCAAAAATATATATATTAAAAACAAATATCACAAAGAAATAGCAATAGGTATACAACAACCAATACTTCAATAACTTCAAAGTAAAAAACAAAAACTTATTTTAAACGAAATTGTAGGCCTATGTATTTGTAACCAAGTACAGTTACAAATCTAAAACTAGAGCTACATGTTAAAAAAACCAACCGTTTCTTAATAAAACGGGCAAGTATTTACAGTACACTACCTTTATTAGTCTTCTTGATTTTAGGGATATTAAACCCAGCCTTGGCAGAACCTGAGCTTGTATCTGCCATTTGAATTGGTGAATTAAAACATCCTGTATGTTAAACAAAAAAAAAACTGATTTCACTTAATCATCACACCAGACAAGTTAATTTATAACGTTGCAAATAGTTCCAGTTCCATACTCTTTTAAATAAAGCAATACAAGTATAATCCACCGAATAAACAATTTAAATTGTAATGGTATAAAATGTGTAATAAACTCAAGTTAACAGGCTACAACATCATCATGTACCAGTTTAAAGACTAACGTAATTTTCCTTCAGACAAACCGAGTGAATTCTCTGCGAAAGAACTGTTGTCAGATCAACACTACACACTTTAACGGCTTAACTTGTGATTCGATTGTTTAAAAACGATCTTTTCTTCTCCTTTGATTTTCTGTTGTTCTTTTTTTAATTTAATGAGTCATAAATCCTTACCAACCCCCCCCCCCCTTTTTCTCAGTGTCATGAATCCATTCAAACAACGGTAGACCAATTAACTGTCCCTATCAGAGGGATTGCTGTCAGTGTCATGAATCCATTCAAACAACGGTAGACCAATTAACTGTCCCTATCAGAGGGATTGCTGCTATAATCCTAGTTGCCATTGCTGTTAGGAATAGGCCTCTTTTGGACAGGCAAGTAAATGGAGACTCTTTGTTGTTGTTGTTAGTTGCATTCCCGTGCGTCTTCTCTCTAAATCAATCTAATTTGACAGTTTTACGTTCAACTTTGTGATGTTAAATAGACGAAGCTGGCGAGTCTTAACAAGTGAGTTAAATGAAAACCTATGCAAGGAGGCCTAACTTTTTGAACCGGTATACCAGCTAATGTGTAGACATTTAAGTTTAAGGCATAATTAATTTCATATGATGATAGTGCATCTTAATCTTATTGAATGGTAAGTTATGGTAGATTAATTTCATTTTCAATGAGCAAGTCTCTTTAATCTAAGTGGGCTCATAATAAGTGTTTTTGGTGGTCATAATGAGGGTAGAATACACAACCAGGGGATACCAACATCACGTGGTCGCCAAATGAGGATAGAATACACGACCAGGGGATAGCAACATCACGTGGTCGCCAAATGAGGATAGAATACACAACCAGGGGATAGCAACATCACATGGTCGCCAAATGAGGATAGAATGCACAACCAGGGGATACCAACATCACGTGATCGCCAAATGAGGATAGAATACACAGCCAGGGGATAGCAACATCACGTGGTCGCCAAATGAGGATAGAATACACAGCCAGGGGATACCAAAATCACATGGTCGCCAAATGAGGATAGAATGCACAACCAGGGGATAGTAACATCACCTGGTCACCAAATGAGGATAGAATACACAGCCAGGGGATACCAAAATCACGTGGTCGCCAAATGAGGATAGAATGCACAACCAGGGGATACCAACATCACGTGGTCGCCAAATCGTCCTTACCTTAAAATTAAACGATAAGATCGTATGTACTCAACACAGACGAGGGGCGCCAAAATCTTATTTACCGAACAATTTTTTTTTTATAAAGTATAAATTGAGGGGCGCCATTTTCAGGCTTCTCCTCGGCAGGACCCTGTACATTCGCATTACAAGTACGACGCTCTAACTTAAACTACCAGTCGTTACATTCTCCTGTCATATTGCCTTTGTTATGGTACCAACTTTCAGGCATGTTTATTCAAACGGTATGTCACTGTTACCAGCACTCAGTGGCGTACGCGCAGCTAAGGTTAGTTTTACCTTGCACTTACACACGTGTATAGTTTTACCTTGCACACAAATACAGAACATTAAGGAAACCAATGAAGTGATAATGACTTTTAATTTGTGCAGGCGGTGGCAGACGGTGCAATAGATACATTGCACTTGGGACGAGTACACTTGTATTTTAGTGCCGGCAATAAAAATCCGTTCTCGTATGTCTGCATATACTCTAAAAAAAATTGGGGCAACATAAGCAACGGCGGCCTTAAACTTGAGGATATTGTCTGGGTAACCGTGAGTAGGATAACATTCGTATAGTATGCAATGCTAGAGGCCGAGGTAAGCTTTTTGTTACTGGAAGAAGTCAATGAACGCATGAAGAAACAGGTTTTATCGTTGTTATAATAATCGATGCAATCACGACATAGGAAGATGGAGAAATTGTATCTCCCTGTTGATCAACACCAGCGCGGTCCGTAAAATGTCCAGGCACGCATTATGATGAATTGGAGGAATAGTTAAATGTTGTTTTTTCTGTTTTTTTTTTGTTTTTTTTTGGGGGGGGGGGGGGTTTTTTTTTTGATTTTAAAGTTAAAGTTCCATGCAAGGGTATTAAATTTTAGCAATGGGACCCGAAAAATCAGGTGACACGCATTATGATGAATTGGAGGAATAGTTAAATGTTGTTTTTTCTGTTTTTTTTTTGTTTTTTTTTGGGGGGGGGGGGTGTATTTATTATGATGTTAAAGTTAAAGTTCCATGACAGCGTACTAAATTTGAGCAATGGGACCCGAACAATCAGGTGGACGAGTACCGGTATTCACGATTTAACAATGCGGGGCTTCAAATGTATCAATTGGAAAACATAGTGGTAGAACTCTTTTTAAAGTAAGGTAGTTGCTGAATATTTGCCCTATGCCAAATAAGCTGCCAATAAAATAAATATTATGTTTTAAATTAAAGTTAAGTGTTACTAGTTTGGTATTAAATAACAACATAGAAAGTATCCAATTCTAAGATCACAAAGAACCACTTTGGGAACCACTGTCCAGTGCCTATACACACTTAATCAAAAGGGAGATAAAATAATTAGATCAGGGGTCTCACACTTGCGGGCCATTTGCGACACAGAATACGACATTTTGCGGCCCGCTACATGACAGCAAAGTTTAGTATTAATGCGGCCCGCGCGTTTTCCCCATTCTCATAACTATAACTATAATGTGACCCTCCGCGACGGTTTCAGTCAAATCTCACCTGCTAGTCTAATTCTGACTTTTATTATGTTTGGATAGATTTTGACGTTGATTGTAATTATAATGCTAAAAAACGTTTTAAAATCTGACTAAAACTAAAAGTTTTTATTTTATAGCATTTTATGAGACAAACATTGCCAAAAAGCAGTTTTGAGAAAAGTTTTAAAAGTGAGTTAGTGGGTAATGCACAACCATAATTGTATAAAACGTAGAAATCTGATACAGTAATCAAAGAATCATTAAAATTGCTCCTTGTGTTTACGAGTGAGGGAAGTGCCGATCCTGTCAGCTTGATTACTTTCAAAATAGTTTTAGTCAAAAAGGCCTTTTCTACGATAAAAAAATCTAATTTCATTCACCCTACAATAGCATCTTCCTTCGCATCAATAATTCATAAATATTGCCTGCTCCTGCCTACCGTTTGAACACGTTTTATCTTTTAAAGCCTTCATTGAGAAGGATGAGGTGGTTGTTCCTGTACTTAGTGATCCCAACTAGCTCATGGACTTGGCTTTTCTTGTTGACATTACACAGGAGCTGAATGTACTCAACAAGAAGTTACAAGACCAGGGGTAGCTTGTCAGTGTTGCCTAAGACGATTTCAGGGCATTATGCCCAATACTTGTGTTATGGTTCTTAGAAAAACTTCTTCCATTTCCCAACATCCAAAGTACTCATGGACTCGGGCACACCATTCACTAGTAATTATACTGATGTCATTGCAAAGCTAGAGGAAGAATTTTATCACGTTTTTAGACTTCAAAACACAGCAAATTTTCAACTTTTTGCTGACCATTTTCCCTTTAATGTGGAAGATGCCCCTCTCCCCCCCCCCTCCTTTTTTTTTTTACGCTTCAAAAGTTCAAACGGAGCTGATTGATCTTCAGTGCAATTCTAAGTTCAAGGAGGTGAATAAAAAAACAGAAAAGCATGGACAATTTATGAGTGCATTGCCCTTCACCTTCCCTGAGATTTCACGGTTGTTCAAGCGGATCATGTGCCTTTTTTGGGAGTACATATCTGTGTGAAAAGCTCTTTTCCACTATGAACTTTAACAAGTCAAAGTTCAGGGCCAAACATACTGATGAGCATCTTCAAGCTATACTGAGGGTCTCAGTTGTTTCCTCACTCAAGCCAAATGTTGCTCAGCTCTGTAAGAAGAAGCGCTTCCAGGTCTCTGGCAACAAGGAGTAGGTAGAAGAAAGTGTAGCCTATAGAGAACACTTAATGTTTTTATTTGTTATTGATAAAGGTTGAGCAGATTGTAACATTTGTACTTCATTGAATTTTTAATCACTTTTTTTTTAATACTTGATGCGGCCCACTTTCACTCAGACTCTACCTCCTACGGCCCAGTTTCACTCCGACTCTACCTCCTGCGGCCCAGTTCCACTCAGACTCTACCTCCTGCGGCCCAGTTTCACTCAGACTCTACCTCCTGCGGCCCAGTTTCACTCAGACTCTACCTCCTGCGGCCCAGTTTCACTCAGACTCTACCTCCTGCGGCCCGTGGATGATTTGAGTTTGAGACTCCTGAATTAGATGGTTATAGGTTCTCTACAAAATTTATGTAATACTAGCCAATATACCCGGCGTTGCCAGGGTTGGCATTTTGGAAAAAAACAAAAAAACTTTTACAGCCTTTTAGTAGTTTTAGTCTAACATCGAGTTAAATTTTCCCATTTGTAAACATTTCCTGACCAAATGGGATCCTGTCCCCGATGGGATCCCATTCATCATTGGGATCCAGTTAGCTGACGGAATCCCGTTCCTTGGTTTGATCCCATTCCCTGTTGGGATCCCATTACCTTGTGGGATCCCATTACCATGTGGGATCCCGTTCCTAGTGGGATCCCGTTCCTAGTGGGATCACATTTCTTGGTTGTATTCCATTCCCTGGTGCGATCCGGTGCCATCCTGTTCCCCGGTGGCAAATGAAGGGTATGTTTACCATATTTGGCCTAGATCCCTCAATACACGTAGAAGCGCACACTGTTATTATAAGCCTTCGGCTCCATTTATGTACCAGGTATATAACTTGGGCCATGATAAAAAAAAATAATAATTTGTAAATTTCTAGAAACTTTCAAAATTACCGGTGCCGGGTACGGTATCTTTAAATATGTATTTATTTTTTTAATAATATTAGAGCTAACTCATTGAACGTTACAGAAAAAATAAAAAAAATAAACATAATAAGGACATTTATAAAATTATTATAATGCTAAATCTAAAACGGTTATAGAAGAACCTCATAGAAAAATCTAAAAACTTTATGATGTTCAAAAACAAAAATGAAATTTTCCGATGCTGAAAAATTTTACAGGAAGGTACGATATAGAAATCTATGGAACTTAACTAAAATTTTCATAGGAAATTTATTTTATCTTAAAACCTTCATAGAAAAAATCTAATTTGCTAGAATAAACTAGAAACTTGGTACCAGGTTTAGAAATATATTCATTAAAAACCATATAACTTATTAGTACGGTACCGGTAAGTATGATTTCATGAATTTTCCTTCGTCTTCCCCTAGAAAAACAGGACAAACTTATTTTGGGGGGTTGGGGTGGAGCTGAAAATTTGATAGAATAGAATGCATTGTCATCGGCAACGAGTCTATGTGCCAAGTTTCAGCTCGATAAGGTGACGCGAAGTGGGTCAATTAGCAGTCCGAAGATCTTGCCAGTCAGCCACAAACAAAAGCGAAGTTAATTAAAAAAAAGAGATTTACAAAAAATTTAAAAAACGCCATTCGTACGAAAGCATAGAAATTATGCTAAAGCGAACAGTAGATTTAAGTTGTCCCTCGGCTAAACTTTTGAGACAACCAACGAGTTCACGGTCTTGTGAAACTCAGCGCAAAAGTATGACGATGATAATTATAAATTACGAAACTTTGTATCGGGTAGTCTCAATAAAATTATATATAAGCTATCTTGGATACCGCATCATATATTTTTTAATGACAGTTGGCTTTATTAGAGTAGAGACTAGCCAATACACCCGGATTTGCTCGGGTTTGTATTCGGGGGAAAACTCATAACGCGTTATAAGCGAATACGTAGTTAAAAACACTTCGCTAAAGTAACTATTAAGTTTTTAATTTTCTCCTATAAAAGACTATATTTATAATAATTACTGTGAGCATTTGAATTTGTGGCCCATTCCGTTTCAGTCAATATTCCTGAAACTGAAACCTGGAGTGCATGTCATTGTACGCTTGCAATGAGATTGGTTGACTGGCTGACAGGCCAAGTGTCCAAATAAATTAATTTTGTGTTGAGCAATATACTGGCGGACTGGGATGGCATCATCCATTTGTTTTATTTCTGGTTCCGAATGTTGGACCTTCTTGTATTGCCAGCAGCTCGCCTTAAAGATCTAATCTCGTAGGTGACTACTGTTCTCTTGCAGTCACCAACCCATATGTTGTGCTGTCTGGGTATAAATATCAAACTTATTATTCTCCCTTCCCAACACACATATTACCGGTATATAAAGGTGGAAATAAAGATTAAAAACAGAACCCATATGTCGGTAAACCCTTAGTCTTAGGTACCGGTACGCCAAAGTACTCTTTATGAAAATGAATGCATGCCGAAATGCCACTGAACTAAGTGATACTTGTAACACCGTACATGCCCCATTCACAACGCAATGAATAGTTGTTTATTAAAATGGTATTAAAACGTTTATTTTCTTTAAAATACCCGTAATAATTTACAGCAGAGAGTACGTATTCTACTTATTCTAGGCTGGATAATGTACTGACACAAACCTTATTTTAAAAATTGTTCAATTAAATAGGTTGAAAAAAACGCACAAGATAAATTGTTTCATAAAATAAAATTGGGCACTGCATGTACCACACTTTAATCACACTTCAACACGAAGTCGTGGACCCCACCCCTACTTCCCCTAAACGAGTAATGTCATTTATGGTGACTCCAATTTCTAAAAGTGGACGGTGCTGTGATGTGCACCGTTTTCTTGTGGAAGCACAAAGCAACATTATGAGGACGATTACAAAACATTGCATGCTAATAGTGCTATATTTGCAGAATTAGAGATACCTGGTACAAATAGGCTATATATGCACTGTCAGAATTTCAGGATAATTATCGCAGAATCATTATTTTTTGTGGGAATAAATGTACGAGCTTTCTGTGTACCGGCACGTACTACCGGTATATAGAAGCCACTGATGAGAAGGGAGTAATGTAGTTTTATGGTATATGATGACTGATTTTTACGCAAGAGAATTTAGAGAAATACGTTAGATGTCTTGCGTTTAAATTGCTCGCTGAAATTGAAATTGTACAGTTAAAACAAGATCATTTCTATTTATTTGGATCAATAAAAGAATTTAATCTTAAACACAATAGGCTACCGGGCATTGAAGGTTTCTACAACTACAATAAATTTCTAGACAGTTCTTGTTTAGTTTGGACTTAATTCAACTAAGTTTATCCTTTTGTCCCGCTTTGTCTGCTGTGGAAGACTTTGTAATCGAAATTTCCTTGTTTAACTTGTTTATAGTTTGTCATCTTTCAGGTTTTCCCATGCGGCACTCTGAACGTTACCGTATATTTATTGCTTTTACTTCAAACTGAACGTAGATCTCCCCTTAAAACTTTTTTTTTTTTTTTAAATGGGAAATCTCTCATAAACTAGCTTTACTTCACTTTACTTATATTGAAAATTATGTACAAATTCCATGTGTTCATTTTTTTAGGTAGGGGTGGGGAATACTTTGGCCTAGGAATGTGTAAATCCAGCCCAGCTACTAATTATTATTATTATTATCATTGTTATTATTATAAGTGGTGGTTTTATAAAGGTGCCGTCCATAAAGTACGTCACGCTCCAGAAGGGGGGAGGGGGTGTAAGAAAGTGTGACAGTTTGGGACAGGGACGAGGGGGGGGGGGCATGCCTGGGGGGAGGTTTTTTAATTTATTTTTTATTTTTTTTATGTTATTATTATAAGTGGTGGTTTTATAAAGGTGCCGTCCATAAAGTACGTCACGCTCCAGAAGGGGGGAGGGGGTGTAAGAAAGTGTGACAGTTTGGGACAGGGACGAGGGGGGGGGGTCATGCCATGTGTGACGTTTTCTAATTTATTTTTTATTTTTTTTAGTGGAATTTAATAGCTTTAAAAATAATTTTCAAAAGTTTTGTGAAAAATTCGAATTAGTTTTATGTCATAATAGCATGAAATGCCTATCTCCTGAATGTGTTGTTCACGATTCCTCTCGCTAGGAGCGCTAGTATGATGTTGCGAAGCCTTGTTTTATGTATAGCCTTGCTTTCGTCATGCCTGAATTATTATTATTTCTATGTTGTCCACTGCATAATTAAGTCACTGTCCTTTTTATTATTTAATCACTGGGTGATGTCAAGTTTTGCTAATCTACTTCTAATCCTGTGTAAAAAGATTGCATAATCGGAAGATTATCTACAAATGACCTCACCTATTGTAAATGAAAAAGCAGCAGATAAATGATGTGTATTTTATAATTGTCTAGTCTAATTTTTGCAATTTTTGTTTTCAAACTCCATCTAGATTGAGTTACTGCTTCAATGAATAACTGTGACAACTGTTGACAATTAACTATTCTACTATTAAAGTCATTTTAAAAATGTGATAGTTATTTTAAGTGGAAATTTTATATTTTAATACAGTTAAACATTGAAGTGTGTTTTAGGCTAGGGCTGGGTTCATTACGCTGTACATACAATTCAAAGTTAACCAACATAATCATGAACTTACAAATTAAAATAAATTATTTAAATAAAATAAAACAAATGTATATTCATTCCACACATTCAAGAACTATTTACATGTCAAGCCATGGACGACTACCAAGCAGCATCGTTTATCAATCAGAGGGGGGTCGGAATAAGACAGGATAGTAAATTTTAAAGAGATGTGTTTTGAGTGCAGTTTTGAAGGTTGTTATGGTCGGTATATTGCGAATGTGTAGTGGACTAGAATTCAATTGTTTGCGGGTACAGAAAGAGAACGATCGTTAACCGCATGTTTTTTGGCGAGTCTTGGGGACAGAAAGAATACGCGCGTCTGCGGAGGAGCGAAGCTGTCGAAGGGTTGAATAGATAGTGTTATCGGTCAGCAAGGAAGGGAAGGAATTATAGAAAAAGTTGTGGCGGAGAACAGAGAATTTGTATTCAATCCGTGGTTGTACAGGGGGCCAATGAAGTGAATGAAGTAGTGGTGTGACGTGATCACGTTTTTTTACTAGTGCTGCATTCATCGGGAATCACAGTACGTAAAAAATAATAGTAATGATAATCCGATATTGCGCAACCGGTACCCGGTACTGAAACTGGCAATGAACTACCGGTATTGCCAAACGAACTATTGCAATACAAGAGAGCAAACATATAAATATAAATATAAAAATGCGTTTGTTTTATTGATTAAATGTCCATTATTTTTGGACGTTACGCCAAATGCAGGAGAAATGTCGTGAACAGCATATGCCATTTTATAAATTATATAGCTTTCATAGACCTGACAAAGGCATTTGACTTGGTAAGTCGGAGAGGCCTTTTCAGTAGGCCTATCCTGCAAAGAATAGGTTGTCCCCCACGACTGCTCACAATCATACAGTCATTTCACAATAACATGCACAGCACGATAACTTTCAATGGCGCTGTCTCTGAGTCATTCCCAGTCAGCAACTTTTGTCCCTTTATGTTTTAGTACCGGTACGTGTTCTTGGAACAGAAAGAATACCGGTACGCCTGTCTGTGGGGAAACGAAGTTTTTGAAGGGGTAAATAGATAGAAACAGTTCAGCAAGATAGGACGGGCAGGAACCAGAGAAAAAGTTGTGAAAAAACAGATAGCTGGTAATCAATGCGCTCCTGTATTTATGGCTATGTACCGGTATCGGAATCATAGTGAACCGGTACCGGTACTTCGTTTACTTTTATTTTCGAACACTCTTTCGTTCACTACCAAATACTACCATTTCATGGAGTTTTCTCGAACTCTCCACATCATCAGATAAAGGTATGTTAGTTTAGTTATTTTTTTTGTTCACTTGTAGCTGTAAAGGCTTTCTGTTCACTCATTTGTTTGGGTATGTAATTTTTTTCAGGTGTTCCCCTGCCTTTTACTACGTACCGGTACTTATTTCGCTGGACGGTAAGTAAGTGAAATTTTTGTTCATTTTTGGTACCGGTACCCTACACTTATTATTATTTTAACGCACTACTTAATGGGAGTCGCTTAGTCACTTCCTTGTTTGGTCACGTGATATGAGTAAGTCATCACTAGGCTGCAACACACAACAAAAGATACTTCATCAGTGCTTCCCCAATGTTATGTTAATTAAAAATTTTACACACGTGATATGAGTAAGTCATCACTAGGCTGCAACACACAACAAAAGATACTTCATCAGTGCTTCCCCAATGTTATGTTAATTAAAAATTTTACCTTTCGTAATATTATGGAATGCAAGCGTTTTTTTAAATGAAATACATAAATGTGACAATAAATATACGTCAGTTATAATTAAAGGAAGAAAGTTATTTCAAGAAAAATTTGTGAGCGATATTCGATGTGAACTATCAATACTATTATCGGCAGGATGTTGTTGAGCTCCGTGCGTGCTCATGACGTCATTTGCGTTGTTATTCAATATTGATGCAGGAGTCATTCCCCTTTGTTTATTTTATTGTTAATTTTCATTGGACGAAATGTAGTGTAGTTGTAGTGTGTATCGGGCTGCTGTTGTCAAGCACTAGTGTGTTGTATACAGTATACCGGAAATCTTACTCGTTTTTACTCATATCACGTGACAAAATAATTGACTAAGCGACTCCCATTAATTAAGGTTATGGTATTTGATGGCTGATTTTTACGCAAGAGAATTTAGAGAAATACGTTAGTTGTGTTGTGTTTAAATTGCTCGCTGAAATTGAATTTGTACAATTCAAACAAAATCATTTCTATTTATTTGGATCAATAAAAGAATTTAATCTTAAAATCTTACCTGTACCCTTTCTATCCTCCTTTTCTGTCAACTCATCGGACTCTTTAACATAATCGGGTAGCATTCATGTGCTTTTACTTTTACACATCTGCATAAGGAGAAAGAAAGATACCGGTAATCTAAGTTATAACAGTGCAGCATATTATTATTATTATTAAAAGACAGTAGAACCAGGTTATGTCGAAGGCCTCGGGTTTTGCAAAAAGCGTCGAGATAACCAATGATGGAGATAAACGAAAACCAATATGGCGGCAATATATTAACATGTCCTTGAAATTTCTCACAATGTGCGTGTAAAAATTATAAATGAGACGTACATGCATGTGTTTTTATACACAACAGCGTTACCGCAGTTCGTTTGATGAAGCGATCGGCATGCTGTAAAAATGTACATACATGCTTGCTAACAACACAAGGCATATGTGGGGTGCCACTTTTCAGGATTAATCCGGAATTACGAATTCGTGAGGCTAAATATTTTTTAGTTTTAGCGCCGAATTCGCGAATTTTATTTTCTCTCACTCCGGATTCGCCAGTTCAGTTTATTCAAATACGGATTCTGGGTTTTAAAAGAAAAATCAACCTGTAAGTTAGTGTGCATGAAAGCCTATATTAAGCGACAAGCGGGTTCGCTACAAATAGAACAGGTACTGCGACCTTTTGTTTGCAAGCTTCTCGCTCCTTGCTGTGTCAAGTTAATTGCGCGGAAAACGATATTGTCTTCATGAGAAAGTGAGTTACCGGTAGTTTGATAATTATATTTAAATGCCACTCTTGCCGCAATTGATGCCAAGTCAACAATTTTGAAAAACATAACCAAAGGTTATCTTTACTTATAGGTATTAGTACCGTACTTTTAGTTTTTTTGTACTGGTACCGGTCCATGGCGCAGATGCCTCCTTTTATTTTGTTGCTATTAATGCTATAGAGCACAATCTCTGGTTTCTTGCATTCAGTTTTACTTTCTATATCTGGCCCATTGTGTATTGTGTTCAGGAGCAATAAATGTTTCTGCTTCGAGCTCTGGTACCGGGCATTGGTTCCGGTATTTGACAAGGTTATTTCTATATCTAGTCTGAACAAAAACACTGATTTGTAAGGGGCAGAGCCTTCTTTTGCTTGAACCCCTTGGGTACGGACATCTTGTTCCAATTCACAGTTCAAACTAAGGTTAGTCTGTTCTTGGTCATTGATTCTGCAAGTTGTAGGTGTATGAATAGTTTGTTTTGAAATTGCGGTCACTTCCATGGAAGTCCCTTGTGAGAGAAATCACAATCTCTTGGGATATTCCAAAACTTCTATTTGCTGGTGGCAGTGCACTTGCATTTTCTTTGCCGAGATATGGGCAGCCTCTCGTAAATTGTTCAAAGATGATTCGCAGGCCCAGGAGATTTTTATTCCGCATTTGTCGGGCTTGCTTGGCATATATCATATACCAGTATTGAAATTGAATAAATCTGCACGTACATCTGAAACCAACCAGTTGCTCACCTACTGTGATGTTCTCTCCAGGAGCATAATACCTTGCCAAATTACTCAGGAATGCTTCTCATACATCTCTTATGAGATCAAAGATGCCACGAGCCAGACAGAGAAAGAATAGATCTAAGAAGTTTGCTGAATCAGAATCTCTTCATTGAAAATGCTGACTAAAAAGAGAATTTACATCAACAGGGCTGAATAAAAACTCAACTGAATGCTGTTCAGGTGACGAGCGCCAGTGTGTAGTAGTAGTAGATAGCCAATAAAAGCTTTAATTTACTTCTTATCCGTCCTTTGCCATGTGCATACCGGTACTTTTACTTTCTCACCTTCCCTGTTGGTGCGGTTAATTATTGTTTTTGTACCGGTGTGCAACACCTAGTCTTCAGGGACAAGGTGAACAACATGCTGCCGGGAAAAGTAAAAAGGGTTAAGAATAAGAGGCCCATGAAAAATTAATGGAAAGTAGTTTAATTTGGATTTAATTGGGGGGGGGGCTCCACTAGTCATACAACGAATCTGGGTACAAAATATTCTAATAATTCTATACCGGGTAGTTTATAGTATAAATATATAGTTATTTTAGTACCGGTACCTGTAAGTTTATACCGAGTACCGGTATAATATGAGTATCATTTGTCTCGAAACACTCACGCTGATGACAACCAATATTAACAACCATACCTTTGAGAGAGTGGCGACGGTACTTTCAAATATCTACGGGCGACTATAAAATAAACGAGCACAATATAATAATGTCGGAAGTGAAAGAAAGGATAACAATAACAGCAGACAACCGTTCCTATTTCAGTTTCAGTCTACAAAAGCTACTGGGAAGCAAAAACCTCTCAATGGGAACAAAGAATACAATATACACTATTTTCATAAGACCAGTAGTTACTTACGCTAGTGAGACGTTGTCCCTTACCAGAAAAGCAGAGAACCTACATAATGCATGGGAGAGGAAAATCCTCAGGAAAATATATGGCCCAGTGAATAGTATTAGTACGGGACCCTATAGACAATGATGTTGAGAGAATCCGTAACACAAACAAAAAAAATTTAAAGGCAGACTGCGCTGGACATGACATATATTGAAAGGATGCCGGATGTTTGTAGGGCAGCAAAAGTGAGACCAAGGGGCAGACGGCTCACCAGTCGACCAAGATGTATCGACGATGTAGAGAAACGCTTAAAGTTGGGGGTTCAGGCATGGAGAAGGAAAGCCATGGATCGATCCGAATGGTAGGGTGCAGTGGAGCAGGCCAGGGCCCTACATGGGCTGTAGCGCCACTGACGATGATATAAGTTGATTATAAATTCTGCAATAATTATCCTGAAGTAGCCTATTTATATCTCGAAATGCAAACCTAAAAATAGGTGAAATAATTTTATTTTTAAATACTTTCGCCAGTTTCGCGTTTTCATAAATGCGCCCAAATACCTTTATCATTATCGCAACAGTAATATTCAGCGTGACCAGTTTTCATAGTGCGCCATGTTTCTTGGTGAGTGAAGTAATTATATCTTTCGGGTGAAATTATTTGTCGCACTCATTATCGTTACCGGGTCGCTCGGCTACCGATACCAATATTTATCATGAGTTGCTGTTGCCACCTGTACCGGTATATTGTAAGTCAGTTTCGTACAACTATAATCGAGTTTATCCTAAAAATGGACTGTTTATTACATTATTGTAACAAATTTAATGAGTGCACATTAAAATAGTTACCGTATATAATTTTTAGTTTTAAGTACGGTATAAAATTTTAACAAATGTTATGTTATTAAAATAGATCAGCACAAAGTAAAATATATTTACGGTATATATTTATTTATATTATAGTTCATTTTTTCAAGAAAAGGGTAGGGGGTGTATATAAATGTTGACATAATTACTTGGGGGAGGGGGGTCATTGAAAGTTTGACATTTGTTGACAAGGGGGTGGGTAAAAATTGCTTTAAAATTGTTGACGTAATTAATGGACGTGAAAATATTAACTTCCGTTTTGATTGATATCACTATATTCCTATGTACTATCAGTGACCAACATATTTATTTAAATTTTATATGGTTTCTATGATTTTGAAGGGAACAAATATTTTCACGGATCTGTTCTTTTTTCCCCTTTGAATTCGAATACCGGTAATTAAAATAATTGTTTTCCATGCACCTATGGAATTTCCCTTCTGTAATTGTAATTACTCATTACTGGTACATTCACAATAATGTATCGGTATTTCAATAATTTAATAAACTGCGGTGTGGTAATACCAGTACCCGGAATATACAATATCATGCGCATCATGGAAAATGGCATTTGCAATGTTGGAATACTTGGAATGAAAATGAAAGTGGCCCGCGCCACGTACCTCAGCATGAGAATTGAGATGGATAGTTCTGAAAAAACGGCATCAAGCCAGCATGCCCCGTGTTATGGGTTTATCTTATTTTATAATAGGTAGTATATAGCAGGACTGCAACCCCCCCCCCCCCCCCCCCCCCCCAGAATAGCTGAAAGAAACCCTGGTTCTCAGTGAGGAGTGGGGATTAAGAATTTTTTTTTATTTTACTGAAGTACGGTGAGTGAATAGGCTGCCGTTTTGACGAAAGTAAATAAGATATATGGCCACCAGTCATGATGAATTGTGATGTTGTGCCGTATTGAGTTGACTCGAAGAATCACAATGATCAGTGATTAGCAGTGAGCAGTCATTTAATTGGAATACGGGTACCACTACCGCTTACTTATATTTATAATTGTACATACAGGTAGGAATAAATTATGACACTGACTTCCACAGAATCACAATGCAAATATTCGTCCTAATTAGGCTACCGGTAAGCCTATTTATGAAAAATATACCCGGTACCGGTACGTAAATACCGGTATTAATTGTGACACCGGTAATATCACAGACTCAATGTGCATAGCGGTTATAATTAGGCAGCCAATATCCGCCAGTTACCTTTTTCCCCTATACAAAAATGTAATTTATTTATTAAATATATGTATTATAAATAATATCCCTAAATTAAATAGATGAGCACAGAGTACACGGCACTGATCAAATAAATATGCTGCCTCTCACTGCCAGAAATTATTCAATTTAGCCTATTTTTGTTGAAAAAAAGGATAGGAAAGTTGGTTGAGTAATGAAAAATTATTTGAATTTGAAGTTCTCTCTGGAAGCTCATGTACCTAGGTTAAGTTACTAGGATTTAAACAAAGTGTATATCTGTATTTCTAGAAGTATAAGGTATATAGGTACCCAAATAAATCACCATATCTAGCGTTATAAAAATTGTAATGGACAGGAGCAGAGTTGATTAGAAACTAAATACTGTCTGACACATAGGCTACAGTATTATAAAGGATACTAAAAACCTAAAGCAAATCTTAAATTTAAATGTATCAGTATCCTATGCCCATATCCATTGATTTAAGGCTGCTTAGCTCTTAGTAGCCTTAGTATTACTGGTAAATGTAATGTAAGAAAAATGTTTTTTAAAAAGAAAAAAATGTTGATCTTTTAGTTTCAGTTTAGAGATAGCCCACAAGTTTTGTGTACAGTACATAATAATATCTTTTTGTCGTTATTCTAGAGACCAAACGATTCTATTAAGCTGGAAGTTTCTTGTGCGACATGCCATAATGGTCCGGTATTTATATTTATTGTTGATGCTTTAAAAACATAGTCATGGATTCTTGAAATAGGTTCCTCACTGCAGAAGAAAACATTTTTTAAAAATGATTACTATTTAGAAGCAAACCTAGAAGAAAAAGATTTTAGACTTAACAAGTATAGTTATGCTTTTTGGTCAATATAATATTATTTTATATACCAGTATAAATATGTCATACAATTTCCATAATAGTTGTTATAATAAAAACTGGCATCCAGTTCATCCAGTATAGATTTGACCACTGTACTGGTAATAATACTAATAGCCATACAATATTATTATCAAATAATTCCATAAAGAACCAGTAAAGATAATAGAACTTACGTCTCAATATACTACTAGTTCATGTTTAAGTTTAAGTTATTGTATTTGCAAATTATTTATTATTATGATTTACAACTTTAGTTTAAATCTACTGGAGTAGTAGTAGCAGGTAGTACTTACCAGTCCTTGATCTTTTCTGTTAATGGCAATGACGGCAATGTCAGTCAGTAACACCAAATAATATAAATAAGCAGTATTCAAATTCAAATGATTTACAAGGATAATGCCATTTGTAAAAATTGCAATTTTAATATATTATATAGGTGAAAAATCATTTAGTAACCACACATTTGAAAATATAATTACAATTACAGTTACTCAGTTACCAATATCAATATTGGGAATGGACATTAGTAGATGTTTTGTAAGAGTAAGTTATAACTTAATAACACAATTTAACATCCATCATTTGTATATTAAACTTACAAAAGAATTAACAATAATCACATGGAACTTTACCAATGGAAAAAAAAAAATCAGTGTCAAACATGAATTATGTTAGTAAATATTGTTCTTCAGACCAGTGGAATTATTTTTATACCAGGTACCAGTATTTGAAAAGTATGCTATGGGAGTCCATTGACCTCTAGCAATAACTAGCATCCTTGGCCATATGCTACAAATGGTTTTATTATACGTACATGTAGCCTTTAAAATCGTAATTGTTCAGCAACTTCCCCCAAAAAACTAGAGGTGAAATTGAATGAAATTGGTGCACATCTTAGATTCAATGTATTGGTTTCTTCTTATAAGCACTGGTAACTTAACTCTCCAATTACCTTAAAGTACTAACCATAAGAAGGATGATATGATAGTAAGAAAGAAACACTTAAGCTTATTTGGATATGAAACAGCTCGTCAGCTCTTTTTGTTAAGGCCGGTAATGTAATGATGTAATGTTAATATCTATTCTGGCATCATTATTTTTAATCCTAAAGTATTGGTACCAGTACCATACATGAAAGACTTAACTATTTCAAAAGGAAAAAAAAAAAGGCTGGTTTAAAATCTCTGAAGCTGGTTACATTAATTCATTAATAATAGAGCTGTGATGACATTGACGTAAATTTCTAAATTCTATTATATTACGATAACTATAATTTTATTTTTGTTTTAAATTAAAGCCAATCCAGATTTTTTTTCAAAGCTGTGGCATTTTTAGCTCCTACTTATAATTATAAGTATTGTGCACTTATTTTCTCAAATAAATTTAGAGTTGCTAAAGGAAAAATGATGATCACATCCTACATTACAGTTGTTGGTAGAATAATAATGTTCACATCCTATCAATAGGACAGACTCTGATGGAGCTGATTTATGAGTCTTCAAATTTCAAATATTTTTTAACCTTCAACATACCCTGTGGGTAGAATCCACCGATATATACCTCATCTACTGAGCTTATTATATGGGCACAGAAAGTCATTTCCGTTGGACTTTAATATATTATTGGCCATGAACCAATAAAAATAAGTATCCTTGATTCTTGTCAGTACCCAAGTGGGTGTTGGCACCCAGTGACAAAAAATGACAAATAAAAAGCCATAAACAATTACATGAACCTTTAATCTTCACCAAATGACTGCAAAAACTGGTAAATCAAGGGGCATTATTCATATTCTGATTGCTTTGGCTCTATTTCAATCATGCGAACTCACTCACTGATCTTGCCACAGAAGAATGTTTTGAAAGTAGGCAAAGAGAAAAGTGTCTACCTTGAGGAACCGGTTACTGTTTTTCAGCAATACAAATCACTCAAAATTGTTGATATTATAGTGATTCATGAAAACACAGAAGCAAGAAAAATGAAGAAAGAAGAACAGACTGACAAAGTTAGATGAAAAAAAGGCTTTTCTTGGATGCTGTCTTTATGCTGGTACTATTCATCAAAACTTGACAAATACCACTCTCCTGTTTAATAAAAAAAGAAGGCGATACCTCGCTGCAAGTAGGAATGTCAAGGAAAAGATTAGAGTATCTTCTAAACCATTTGTGATACCACAACAAGAAAACAATGACTCAAAGGAGAGTCAAGGACAAATTAGCCCCAATTAGAGAAATTTGGGATACTTTCCAAACAAATCTCAACTCACATTATGTTCCCAACAGTAACATCACAGTTGATGAGCAATTCATCCCATTTCATGAAAGGTACTCTTTCATACAATACCTGCCCAACAAACCAGATAGTATGGCATCAAGATTTTATGGGCATGTGATCCAGAAACATCTTATCCGTTGAAAGGAAAGGGCACCTCGGCCAGCAGACAACAGAAAAACACAAAAGCTTGGAGCAAGAATAATTCAGGAACTTGTTGAGCCATTCAAGGGCAGTGGCCGCAATATCAAAACTGACAACTACATAATTGACTTGAAGCTTGCTTAAGATCTCAGAAAGGAACTGTTGAGACTGTAAGACGAAATAAAAGATTTCTACCCCAACAGTTGCAGCAGCCCAAGTTTCAAAAGTTGAATGACACAATGTTTGGTTATTCATCAGAGGCCAATATTGAATCTAGCAGTCAAAAGAGAACAAAAAGTCATGTTGAGCACAATGCATGATGGCAATGCTACAACTCCAGGCGAGAAACAGAAGCCTGAAATTGTAATCGATTTAACAAAACAAAAGGTGGTGTTGACAGCATGGTGTAAATGGCACAAGCCTTTACAAGCAACACAAAATGAAGTGGATGCCAATGGTGATGTTTTATGATATTTTTAGATTTGTTTGCACTTGCCATAAGGATTTTGTGGTCGCAAAACAACCCAACAAGCTAACTGGCCAATGTTGACAATAGACAGTGTTTTGTCATGGAGATTGCAAAACAGCTAATTACAGCAATCATCAAGAAGAGAATGCAGCTGCCAAATGTAAGTCATTCCTTGAGAAATGTGATGCAAGTCTCTCCAATGTATTCCACATACAAATCAATTGGCCAGACAGAAGAGATGTGGACACTGCCCTGCTAAGAATGACAGAAAAACAAACAATGTGTGAGTAAAATGTGAAATCCCTATACGGTACTGTATGTAAAGAGCAAATCTCACCATTTGTGAACAATGTGAAATAAAAGAAAAAAAAATATGTTGTCAATTATAACATAAAATCATGTCAATGGTATGCAGATCAGTATGACGTTTGTGTTTAGTGTTCTAATAAATACTGGTACCATAATAGACAAATTCACCAATGTTTATGTATACTATTTAAGGATTTGCGTACTGTATTCATTATTTTATTCTAAATATTAATTTGTACAGCTGGGTACAGCTTTAAGCGGGTAAATCACAAGGTATGGTGAAGGTTTAACTACTTATACTGACCAAAAACAGTTGAAAAATAATGAATCCAAGCTCCTGACTTCAATGTAGAATTATAGCTACATTCAGATCCTTTAAAGAATCTTGCAAAATTTGGTCCTCAACCTTGCCATGGTTATGCCGATGATAAAAAATGTGTAGGAGTTTTTTTTTTTAAAATCAGGTTTGTCTTTATATTTGTATGTATCTTTGGGCAGATTCAGAACAAATGCTTTCATGTTGCTTTAATTATTTCAGGTTCCAGGCAAGTGACAGGAGGAATGTGGAATATAGTTAAGCTTAACCAGTCCCAGTGAATTTCAAATGTGTAGGGTGTCCAAGCATCATGAATCTCTGTCCTTTGCAACACATGGATGGAATTTTCAACCATATTTCAAAAGCCTCAAGAACATTTCAACCACATGCTAGTTTTTTTAAACAATCAGTTAATGTCAAATAAATTAGCTTCTCTATTCAAAGTTAGTTAGTCTTAATCAGAAAAACTTATTGAATAGCCAATTTAAGTTGTGCTGTGTAGATAAACAGGCAATGTATCAATTATGACTGGAAAATATCACTTTTAACAAGTTTGCTAAGGTATTACCCTCTGGGATCTCGGTCCCATGAGTATCATTTGGTTACCTCTGTTTCTGAAACACCCTGCTCCACTTTACCTACACTCCTTTTCCTCCCAACCATCTAAACATTAGTTATGGTACTAGAACCAGGTACTTCAAATCTTAAGTCAGATGCATAAAACTTATTTCCTACATGAAAGCTTTGGACAGATGCAAACATTTAACTTACTTTAAGTCTAATACCTCAGATGTATATCGTATTATGGATAAGCTTTAACATATCACTATATTTATAACATCCTAAGAGATAATACTTAACCTTAAGTTAGTAAGCTTATTGGTTTCTTAAAACTGTGAACTGTTAATAAGGTTAAAAATAGAGTTACATTTTGAAACAGACCTAAATGGAAGTTTACACAAGAAAAAATCCTTTTTTGTCCGAAGCTGTGAGTCCTTGGCTATTGCATTAGCATGTGTCTAGCTTTTGTTACTTCAATTTAATATGACTCAATTTTCAAAAAATACTAAGGTTTTACAAGGACAATCAATAAATTATAATAAGTGAATGAATTGAAAATGAAAGTATTGTCTAAAAAAAATTAAATATGATTTTAAAGATTGATGTTAACTTTAAAAGCATAAATACTGAAACATTTTGTTTAAATATAGCAATGCAACATAAATTATGATGTAGGCCCAACTTACAAATATTTTAAATAATTGACCACCGCTCTGGGTAACAGTAACAAAATAAAATATTGACCTCATATTTCATAGGCTGTCATATGCCTAGTGACCATGCAAATATTAAATAACACAAGGGGGTAGGGGGTGGTTTATCATTTTGTTGCATAGAGTTATTTGAGGTGGGGTAATGGCAAATAATGGTAGAGAGCAATGTTAATGTTATATAACAATTCTTTTTACCAGTATTTGTTTTTTTTTTTATGAATTCTTGTTTTTTGCAGAATTAACCTAGATTATATTATAATTTCATTTTTTATAAAAACTAGAATGTATTTTTTGCTTATAAATATTTAGCACATATTCATATTGTAAAAAAAAAATCTGGCTTTCCGCGTGTAATTTGCTTTTTTGGCTTATTTTTTAAACTTTATTCAGTTTCATCATTATCAAAGGGTGGGGTGGGGCATTGCTAAAAAATGCTATATAATATTTATTTAGTCAATGGAAATGTTATGTTATGAAGGGTAGGGGTGGCTAAAAAATGTCACATTTTTGTGTTATATAATATGTGCACGGCCTCCTAATGGCTACTCATAAATATTTTTGGTGATCAAAGCTAAGTAATACTAACTAATCTTACACTACTTACAGTCTTACACTTACAAATTAATGAAAACAAAATACAGCACGTAAATTACTATATGTGTTCATTAAAATCAGCAAAATATTTATTTTCAACAATGTCATTCTTATTTATATTATTGTATAATTTACTGAGTCTAGTTATGTTTGTAATTATTGTGAGTGGCATGTTACCATTAGCTGGGTTTGAGAATTTGAAAGTAATGAAAGCTACTTAATTCTAAAACTTATAATTATATAGGTTAAAACTAATAAAAACAAATTAGTTGTATTAAGTTGAAAGATCTTACACAAAAAATTTTAACCAGCAAATCTTCTGAAGTGTATTCCACACCACTGTATCATCTAAGTATCTTCACGTAATATCTGTGCCATGGTCACGTTGCGTTTTCATGTTATCATCTTTCTTTGTTACATTTATCGCATGTCGGAAATATTCCAAATGCAGAATTTTACGGTGCACTTGCGAAATAACCGTGTCTCTTCAGTTCATGGATGGAATATGAGTATATAACGAATGTAGTTTTACATACTCTATCACAGTAATGAATATTTATTCATGGCACCAATTAATAACTGTGGTAGCGTAGCCGTGGGGGCTAACTTAAATGGCGGCAACGTACTCTATTTTTAGTAATTTTAACCTCATCTTAGTTATTACTTTAATATTTACTTGTCAAGATGGGAAAGAAAGACAGATAGTAAAAAAAAAAAAAGCAATAAATATACTTTTTTAAATTATAAATATTAATACTATTTAAATCGAAACCATAATTAACTTTTTTTTTAGTAGCGTAGCCGTGGGGGCTAAATTAAATGGCGGCAACGTACTTTATTTTTAGTAATTTTAACCTCATCTTAGTTATTACTTTAATATTTACTTGTCAAGATGGGAAAGAAAGACAGATAGTAAAAAAAAAAAAGCAATAAATATACTTTTTTAAATTATAAATATTAATACTATTTAAATCGAAACCATAATTAACTTTTTTTTTTTTTAAATATCGGTATCGGTGCTCAATTAATTTTGAATATAGTTTAGAAAGCAAAGGGATCCGAGATTATTTTTTTTACTAAACTTCCGGTCTATAGACAGTTTATACTACAAATAATGACAGTTTGGGAGTGAGTTATAAAGTTGTGAATTTGATTGAATGTAAAAGTGGGTACCTAAAAGTGATTTGTAAATCAAATATCGTACTAATATACACATGTCTACTTCATTTTATAGTACTGGTAATGGTATCTATTACGATGTATTTCTTTAAATATTCTTAATTTGTACTATTAATTTCTATTACAGGAGTAATTTGTGTAAATAAAATTTAAAAAATTAACATAATGAAAAAAAATAATAATAAGGGTGACCAAACGTCCCTTAAAAATGGGATTGTCCCGTTTTTTCGCGATCGTACCCGTTGTCTCTCAGGTTGCCTAATTGTTCCGTTTTTTTTAAAAACCAAACACATTTTCAAAATTTAAATCAAATCACTAATAACTTCAAGTAATTAGCTGTGTAGCCAGTGCCAGTAGTGATGTAGGTTCGCGTGATGGCTGCACTGTGCCTCCTCCACCACAGTGTTCCTGCCATAGAACTTATATTATGTAAATGTATGGCGAAAGACACGAGACTTAAAACCGCTGGGGGGGGGGGGGGGGAGTGTGATGTACTTGCACAGAAGACAATTTTTATTCCGGTACCGCTATGTGTAATGTGTGATCAGTGCTGGCCTTTCGTGTCGGAGTGACAGGTGTTTGTTTTGGGTGTTGAACTTTATTTTTTAATTGTATAATATCATCTCACGAAGACAATAATTATCCCCAAGCGTCAATGTAAGTTTCTAGAAAAGTTTTCCAAAGAGTGAAACTATATTAAAAAGGGACGCTACAAAAATGAAGCCGAGTGCACAGTTTGCAATAATATTATTAGTATTAGTATCGCCCCACCCCCATAAAAAAAAAAGTCCTTTAAAGTGTCCTGTTTTTTCCTCATGATTTGGTCACCTTAATGTAAATGTCAATAATTTTCAGCTTTATTACGATTACGATGATTTTACAAAATACAAATGTAACTTTTCGTCAAATGCCTTCATCAGTACAAAAAATAAAACATTTGTATACAGTATACCAGTAATTGTATACACCAGATAGTCTGAGATAGGATTTATATCCACAATTTTACGTAGCTGCCATGGATGTCTTTTTCCTGTTTGGTTTTTAAATTTTCCACTCACTTCATTTCCGTTCTTCTTAACTTTGTTTTTGTCTGGGTTTGCACCCACTTTTATTCTTTTATATTTTTTAGGTAGGATACATGTAAATTAGGGTGACCAAACGTCCCATTAAAACGACATTGTCCAGTTTTTTCACAATCATATCCGGTGTTCTGAAAATTAGGCTAAATGTCCCATTTCTATTCCAAACACATTTTCAAATCACTAAAACTTCCTAGTTTATAACATAACTTCAAGTTGTATTTTGGCTAGCTGTGTAGCCAGTGCCAGTAGTGATGTGGGCTTGGGTGAGGTTTGCACTGTTCCCCCTCCACCACTCTGCCGACGCTGCGTAAATTCAGTGTCCCTGCCCATAGATCTTATATGTATAATGAAAGACACAAGGCTTGAAGCCGGAAAGGGGGGGGGGGGGGCATAGAGGAGGGGTTCAGACATAAAACTGTTCCCCCTCCACCACTCTGCCGACGCTGCGTAAATTCAGGGTCCCTGCCCATAGATCTTATATGTATAATGAAAGACACAAGGCTTGAAGCCGGAAAGGGGGGGGGGGGCATAGAGGAGGTGTTCAGACATAAAACAACACATCACATCAGTGAAACATAGGAAAAGACTGAGTGCCCCAAGTAACAGTATGTCTCAAACAATTATTTTATAAAACATGATTCTTGAAGAAAAGAAACTTGGAGCTGCTGAACTAGCTCAGGGCTACTATACAGTAAAGCACCATCACAGCTTTAGGTCAAATGACTGTTTCAACAAGTTTAACAGCATTATGTTTAGTGACTTTGCAATTGCATTAAAGTTTAGCCCTGCCAGAACAAAGCAATCAGACCTGATAATTGGTGTTTTAGGTCCATTCAACTTGAAAACTAGCATTGAAGACTAGCCTTTTTATGGCATTTCAACTGATGCAAGTAATCTTTCCTTCTGCAGTTCAGTTTTTTGACATAAATGAAGTCAGTTACTGAAAGCAGCTTCCTTGCCATGTGAAACGTCAGATGAGATATCTAGTTTCTGCTTGAACTGTATTGATGAATTCAAGTTTGATATAAAAAAAACAGTTGCATTGCGTTTTGTGGTGAAAATACCAAAACAAATTTTGGTGGTTTGAACAGAGTGGGAAAAAAACAATGTATTTACAAAATTAACAACTAATTTACATGGTGGTATTGAAGGTGTGGGTTGTCCTGCACATGTACTACATAACTGTATATGTGCAGCTACTGATAGAAATTAGCTGTGACATTGAAGGTATTGTTGTCACTCTCTTCTCTTATATTTCTGTATACAAGGTGGGAACAGAGAGGCTAAAAGAATTTTGTGAAATGATCGACGTCAAATTTGGCACTATTTTGGCCTATTCAAAAAGTCATTGGCTGTCTTTGATGACTGCAATAGAACAAATTTTAAAGCTCTTTGATGCGTTAGAGGATTTCTTTTTAAGCGCCAAAGATTTGAACATTTTTAAATAATTCTTTAAGTAAGGCATACCTATTGGTTTATCCATAGCCAACTCTTTTTTTTTTACCAAGAAATTAAAAAGATTGAAGGAAGTACAAAAAGTGTTATGGAAGTCAATGATATATTGGAATATACTCTCAGAGCTTTGACCAGAAGAAAAGAAGAACAGTTTTTATCATTTAGTGTAAAATCCATTCTTAAACAGGCCAATATTATGCAACAAGAAGAAATTAACTTAAAAAATGAAGGTGAGTTTTTAAACCTGCATACAATATCTTAAAAAATTGAGTGTACCATTCTCTACCTTATCAAAATTCAAATGGATGCTTTTGAAGGGCATCCCCAGTTGGGAGCAAATTGAAGAAACTATTTGTTACTTCAACGAAAAAAGTATTGAAATAAATGATACTTTGCTATTTGATCTACTGGCATGGTTAGCGGATTTTGTAAGTGAAAATATTAAAGACTGGACTGATAAATATACAAAAAACACCTCAATTTCTTGAAAAGTGGGTTTGTTTTTTCAAAACCCATAGTAGGCCAGAACAGATCTCTGAATTTTTGAAGATATTCCAATATGTGTTTGCGATCCCTGCCCATAATGGTAATACTGAAAGAATCATTTCGCTTATGAACATTCAGTGGACGAAAGAAACAAGATGAGAGTGGAGATCCTTTCTACAATCCTGCAGGTTCTCTACAATTTCTAAATGGACTGTTCTAGTTCTTACAACTTTATATTAGATAAGAAGGCTGGGACAACAGCCAAATATCCTCAATTTAAATCCTTGACTAGAAAAATTTAATTTTTTGTGTTATATTATGTTTTAAAATATGTATAAATGAATAAGTATTCAATGCAAAATTATTGTTATGCCTCAGAATTTATATTAAATTACAAAAGTCAAGGTAAATTTAAAAAGATTTCCAGGTCTCAAAATAGTTTAAATGAGCATATTTCAAAACAGTTTCAGGCCGAGGCCATTGGCCCCCTCTTTAGCTGGAGGGTATCCCCCCCATACCCTCCTTGGGTTTGTCCAGTTTTTTTACAGTTCATGATTTGGTCACCCTAATGTAAATATGTATTATTTAAATTATATTTGTACTCATGAAGATGAAGGCATTTGCCGAAACGTTCACTTTGTATTTTGTAAAATCATTAACCCCTTCCTAACAGCTGCGACTAAATGTGTCATTTGGGTTTTTTCGGCGGATGCGTCTGGCCACACCCCCTACTTTTCTTTTCTCCTTAGTTATAAAATCACACATCTTAATGCTAACCTCGCATTAGGGAGATTTAATTTTAAAAACGGAAGTTTTTATCTTGTTCCGTTTATTTTCAAAGCGTGTCTCAAGCTAGTCAAATCGTATCGATGGCAATGAACAATTATTAGATTAGGGTTCTGATATGGAAATGAATGAACTGTGTTGATTCTAATGACGATTCTCTACTTGATAGTCAATGACTAATATTAATACTAATACTGGCTTGGAATGGCCCATGGACTGTCCAACGTGACGGCATAATTTTGGAATATGTAGGATTCTACTTGATAGCCTACCTATGGACTTTTTTAAGCTCTATGTGACAGACAAATGTGTTGATGAGTTTGTTATACACACTAATTTGTATTCAGATCAACAATTGGCCAACCAGTCTAGCCCTAGGGCATCTGCCATAACATGGACTCCTGTGAGTGCAGATGACATCTACAAATACTTGTATATATGTCATGTTTGGTCTACATTAAGTTCCAGATGTAAGACTATACTGGACTTCTGAAAATATGTGGAGGGTCCCTGCAGTGGCTGATGTCATGAACAAAGACCGATAGCAGATGATTCATCATTGTTTTCACGTTAATTACAGCTCACTTCAATCTGCCAAGGACAGCCAAAATGTTGATCCCATGTACAAGTACAAGGTGAGGCTCTTCTGGGCCACATAAGACCTAAATGCTTGTCACTATGCAAGCCTCAAAGACAACTGAGTATTGATGAAACTATGGTCGGATTGAAGGGAAGACTCGCTTTAAGCAACATATGAAGGATAAGCCGACTCCTTGATGCTTGAAAATTTGGTGCTGTGCCAAGACTGGGTACATTTTAAACTTTTAAGTGTGCACTGGTAAAAGTGAGGTGGGCTCTAGCATTGGATTGGGCTATGATGTCATCATGGCAATGGCCAATCCCTTTTTGGACAAAAGGCACAAGCTTTTTTTTTGACAATTTTTTTTCTTCGCCCAAGCTGGCAGAAGACCTATTTGCCAGTGACACCTATTGTTGTGCAACAATTAGGCCCAACCTCAAAGGCTGGCCTCTTTAAAAAATCAAAACAAAAAAAAGGTGACTACATGATGCAGCAAAAGGGATTACTTGTTGCCTGCCAGTGGACAGATAAACGCCAAGGGAATATGATTTCCACAAATTCATATACTGAGATAACTGTTGAGAGGAAATCCAAAGACGGGATAATTCAAGTTGAAATCCCCTGCAGTGTTGATTTAGGAGACCAGCACTGGTGGTTACTATCCTGTTGGAAGTGAAGCCATAAGTGGTGGAAATATCTCTTCTGGTACCGGATATTTAATCCAAATATCAGTAGTCAATAGCTATCTACTGATGAAGTGGGGGAAACCTGATTACCCTCTTAGTAAGTGCCAACTTAAGCTGGCTCAATAGTTGCTAAATTTAGAGACAAGAGTCATCCCATCAAGCACTTCTTGTCTGAACATGTCAAGTATTGCCGGAATTGCAAGACCCTTCAGCCCCAAGCATAGGCTGTCAACAATGCCTGGCAGAAAGCATAGATGTTGCCAGTGTGCCATGGTAGGAGCAAAAATGCCCAGCGGCAGGACAAGGGAAACCGCCAAAGGCTGCTAATTGTCCAGCATTTGCATGCCGGACAATGCTAATGACAGCCTAAAATAAAATTTAAGTGATGTTAAAGTTGTATTAAATGTACGAAAAAAGCACTCAAAGTGCCATTTATTATATTTTTATTTATGTCGTCATTTGGTCTTGTTGGATCAGTAATGTTATATTTTTCTGAAAGCTTATCCATTTCTGAATGCAATGAGTTTTTTTTAAAAATTGATTAATATTTAGGTACTAAAAACGGGTTTATCAAAAATATTTATGGTATGGTATGAAAATCAGAGTAGCTGCCTTGTCCAGGAAAATGTATATAAACAGGAAGTATAAGTGAGTGCTCAAGAGTGAATGAGTCAAAGCTGAACATACATTGTTTTATTTATGGTACACAAATTGTTTGTGTTTATTTAATCTACTTAATTTTTACTCCATACTTTGACATACATGTATGGCATGATGAGTATGAGTCAGTGAATAAAGCAAAGTCCTTAAATTACCTTTTTTTTAATAAAAAAGGAATGAACACAACAGTGACAACTGTAATAATATTATTATGTGCATATAATTCAATACAAATTATAATTCCAGTATCAATAAACTTAATTTCAATAATCCAAAGTTTGACTCATATTCAAAGTAAAGGATCTGGAGGGGTCTCCGCAGATGTTAATGTGGCTCTGCAGTCAAGCTGCTACCTTTGAAGAGAGGTCTACATGTCTACAGTCCTTATAGTATTGAGCCTCATGAGAGGGCCTTGATAACTAGTTTTCAGGGAATGCTGTAGTCAAGTTGTAAATTAATCAAATATGTAGAGATGGATTCCATTCTAAATAACGCCCCATGGACATATATGAGGAACAGTGTTAAACACCCACTTCCTAAAGTCTGTCTGATTTTGATTAAATAACTCTTTGAAAAGGGAAAAAACATTGGTACTGATATACCTTTTTACTTAATGTGTCTACTGGTCTAATTTTTTTATATCTCTTAATGTGTTATGCCTAAGACATATTAAAATATTTTCTACCGATATAGAAACTATCATACCCTACCTTAAAATAAATTTATATTACAAGTAACTATAATTTCAGACTCCATGTTGACATAAATAAATTATCACTCAATAAAACTATTTTGAATGTAATTGATATCTGCTGGATACAACAATACAATATAAAAATTATAATACAGGATTTTGGTTATCTGTTTAATAAATATATTACAGGTACCTGTATATACAATTTATGAATTAAGTTTTACTAAACCATGTAAGAACTCGTCCAAAAATGAAATTTTATTTCAGATTTGTGATGACTTGCTGTTGTTGTGATATAACTATGATTGTATTGATTGCACATTAAAGCAAATATGTTAATCCCCAGATAATATGGAACCTACACCATTTCCTGATCTTGTGATTGCTGACTTTAAGTGTTTAGATTCACCTGCTCCAAGAACTCAATGTGTGAAATGTGGAAAATCTAGGAAGTATTATTGTTATAATTGTTTTCTTCCTCTCCCCCATCTTCATGAAAGTTTGCCAAAAGTCAAGGTAGGGATAATAATAATCTGAGACTTACACTGGAGTAATATTGAATACCCCGTACATACTGGTACCAGGATCACTATACTTGCTAATGCAGCAATTATCAATTATTATTATCATCATACACCTTTAAATTTTACTTTATCATTGTACTGTAACTGTGATTAAACTGTGTTTATATTTATAAAACTTTAATTATCTTTTAATTATTAAATTTACTCAAATAGCTTCCACTGAAAGTGGATATTATAAAACATCCTAATGAAATAGATGGTAAAAGCACTGCACCACATGCAGCAATACTTGCTCCAGATGATGTCACAATTTATACCTATCCTTGTATACCAGACTATGAGTCACAAGACGTAAGTAGTTTTAATTTTTAGTTACGGTTATCTCTAATATTTATATTAGAACAAAAAAAATGAATGCTTTACCTATGTAAGAAATGTAATTGTAATGTTGAAAAAAATTGTAGAATTGCAATCACGTTTTAGAAAGAAATGTCACATCAGAAGAATGGATGTTGTATTTTGTGAAAGTATAGGATTTTTTTCAGTCACTTATAGATACATTTTGTACTTTGCAAAGGTTGTACTGGTGTTTCCATGTGAAGACTCTATTACTCTAGAAGATATGGCAGCCAGTTTTGACAAAAAATCAAATGCCATTATAACAAGTACCTTATCTGATTCAAATGGGTTTACAGAACAAAAGTGGATTGAGAATGAAAATAAAGAGGGTAAAGCAACAGTTATACTAGATAAAGCCCCAGGTGAAAGTCTATTAATAAGTGATTCAGTTGGCGGTTTATCTGATGCTAAGGAAGAAACTACAGCTTCACTGAATTTTGGAGTTGATAACTCTGTCCAAAGTCAACCCCAAAAACGAAGTTTATGGGAGTCATCTTGCCTTGACGAAGCAAATCCCTCTGAGCCTCCATTGAAGCTAATAAAAAGTACTGGTACCCATTTTCTACCATTTGACAGAGTTGTATTTGTTGATTCCACTTGGAACCAGACACATAATATTATAAATGATGAACGCCTAAAAAGTAAGTACTTTTTTTTTTAGCTTATCCTGTAAGCTGAATTGCTTTTAATATATTTAAAGAGCATTACCGGTACTATAAGCGCTCACACCCAGTTCATTACCGGATATTTCCTACACAAATTTTTTTAAAAATTGAAATTTTTTTCACATTGCTTTTCAGAGCGCTCAACTCTTAAATTTTTTTTCAGATCTGAAAAGAGTGGAACTTCGTTCTCGAAATACACATTTTTGGCGCTGTCAGGATGGAAAACCTAAAACATATTTATCAACTATTGAGGCCATTTATTATTTCATAAAAGACTTCCACACAATTTTTATTAATTCAGAATACAACCATGAATATGATAATCTTTTATTTTTCTTCAGTTTTATGTATCAGAAAATTCGCAAGAACTCAGGAGGAAATCATCTTAAAGCATACCAGAGATGAGTTTTATGTTTTTGAATTGGCTTCAGATTATGAGTGACACTCATTTTTGTAACAGTCTGAGACAGCTCTGAGCTTACATAAGCATTCTGACATCTTTTCCAGCACAATGTAAATTATATCCATTCAGGGATCTTGTGAATCAAATTTTGATAATTGTACAAATTTTTCAAATCTTGATTAGTATTAGTAGTAATAGTAGGGTAGGGGTATTGTTTCATTTAGGCCTTTTACAAAAATTTCAATACCAAGTTTTAGGACTTCAAATCACTACTACAATTATTTTTTATTTTTACGGGTACAGTTAACACTTTCAACGTTAACATAAGTACGGTACTGATAGTATAAAACTTGTAAAACAGGTTTACATTTTTAATTAACAAGACAAAATTCCTGATGTTTCTTTATTTTCATTTTTAAAAGTCAATAAAAATTTCATAACAAAAGTACATGTGTCATTTCTTTGTCCATAAACAAATACCACAATTACCATTACTAGAACATTAATTTCATTTATTTTCTTTTTTTTTTGTGGCAAAATGTTTTTAAGTGAATGTGCTTTCTAAATAAATACTGGTTTCCGTTTACCATACCAGTTCAGGAAAGAGGTCTTACAAAACATAATTGGTTAAAATTTTATTTTCAGAAATTATTTTCTAAAGAAATAGAGTATAGAGGTACGGTTTGGGTACCTATAAAAGACATACAGGTGCAAAAAGTGACCATTATGATTAGTACATACAAATACCATGCTTAACACTATAATTGCCAAATTATCAGAATTGCCATACTGGTAAAGTTTCAAACTACTTACTTGTACCAAAAATAAAAGAAAGTCAATAAGGTAATTTTACAAGAAAATTTGTTAAAGTTAAAAACAAAAATACCACCTGAACATTCATTATCAGATAATTTGATTGACAATATGTGTGCTATATAGGATTCGGTATTAGATGAAATCCATGCACTATTATTACTACCCGGTAATAGTACCTGTACAAAATTATTTTTTTTTTCATCATTCTCTATGAACAAAATACCGAGTACTGGCACAAAAAATAAAAACAAATAAGAAAACATTTAAACAATTTCATATATTTGTGTATGGTACTATGAATCATGAAGTTAAGTAATGATTTTGTTGGATTACACAATGTTTTGCTTTTGGGTGTCAAAAAGGGTGGGGGGGGGGTGTGATTTGACAAATTAGCGCTAATAAATTTTCCAGGTGAATTTGTACACATTACTGTCAATCCTAAAAGTTAGAAGGAAAAAAACAACATTTCATAATAGTTGCCCCACCAATCCACCTGAGAAGTTATGTTTATTCGCTCCAAAAGGATAAGGACAGTTTCACAAAATAGGTAATATAAATTATAAAATTTCGACTTTTCTTGCACATTTCATTGTTACTCACCAATCGAACATGGTATATTATCATTTTATTTTATTTTTCAAATGAAAATGGCATGGCTATGGAAATATGATTAACGGTACACTACATAGACTTAGTAATAATACTTTAAAAGAGTAATAATATTTTGGGGTAAAATGTAGTTGTTGATTTGCATGAAGTGGATGTTTGTTTTTACAAACATAACATTGTGGTGGCCCATGAATATATCTAAAATACAGGTACCCAGTTTCTAAACTAAAAATGTACCATACAAAAAGAACAATGGATTGAACAAACTAATCACAAAGTTATGGGAATTGAATGAAGACCTTTAAATACCATACCAGCATATTTTATAAAGTAAGTAGGGACAAAAATTCAAAACCTAGATCAGCAGTTTTCAGCTAGTTGCAAAAAGTTTACAGGAGTGTAGAAATATTTTTTTAAAAAAAAGGAATAAACATCATATTCATATCAGAGTACTGGTATAATTATTAATAGTCTATAATTATTAATATAGTCGTGTAAATTTTATCTACAAACTATTTGGGTTACTCAATCTTCATATTAACTTATTTATAATTTGTGTTGCTCCTGCAACTCACTGAAACTTTTTTTTCTTCATAAATGGAATGGTGTGTCATAGAATTGTAGTACCGGTAATTAACTTTCCATGTAATTGTATAAAGCATTGAAGGATTAAACATTGTTACTCTATTAATGATATGGAGTAAAAAGATTTTTTACTTTTACAATCTGAAAAACATTTTTTAAAGATAAACTTTACAAAATATGGTACTGATATTGCCCTAGATGTTAAAAATATATGATAAAGATAGAATCCTAATCAAATATTAAAAAAACAGAGATCTAATCCGAATCAAAATCGGAAAGAGCAAATTCTTCAACAATATCATTTTCATCATCTTTGTCAACTAAATTATCCTTTCTAAATGCTTTTGACATTTCTTTTTTCTCTCCATCTAATGGCTTCAATATTTGAACTCCTAAATTTTCTTTTTCATCAACTGTGCCGCTTTTTTCATCCATTTCAACGTCATCGTCTTCTCCACCACTACTTGCAGACTGAGCAAGCTGTTCAAGTTCATCATCATCAAAATCACTATAGTCATCACTATTAGATTCAGAGTCATCATGCTTTCGTTTGGTTGACGTACGATCTGGTCTCTCTTCCTTCAGGAGAAACCTTGTTTCATCCTCTGAGTCAGAATCATTTTCAAAAAGTTTAGCAAACTCTTCTCTTTCAACTGGTGTCGCCATAGGTCTTTTCTTTCTGTTAATTGTAGGTATGTCAATAGCAGCACCTGAAATGGCTTCTTTATTAGATAGTTCATGCTGCAGCTCACGGTCACGTAATTTTCGCCACGATGTGTAAAACTTTCTTAAAGGTGTCCCTGTTTCTGTTAATTGATTTTCCCAGATAGCAACAGACTGTTGATCATCTAAACCTAGATTTGCACTCCTCCTCTTTTCTGAAATGAATTTAGATTGTTCTTGAATTTTGTCAACTATTTGCTTTATTTGCTTACAATAATTAGCTATCTTGCATTTCTTCAAAAACAGTTTGAGTTGTATTACAGATGGGATTATCATTTCTGGGAAACTGATTGAGTGAGCTTGAGTATTAAAGCTCTCTAACATATGTTCATAAATTTGGTCTATGAGTCCATCTTTGAATGCTTTTTCATGTATTTGCGACTTGGAAAATTTTAGAATCACTGCAAAATTAAAAGGTTTCAGGCTGACAGTCTTGTGTTTTTTGTTAAAATCTGTTTGTTCAAATATTTCTAAAAGAAATGGCAAAGTTGGTATAAATGTTTTAGTTTTATATGAAAGCTTATTCAGTAATTGAACACAGTGAAATCTAAGTGGGTAAAATCTTGCAGTTGGTAGCAGCTTAATAGTACCAATGATTGTCTGGGTTAAAGGGTAAATCAAAGGTTGCAGAATATCACTTGGATGTGTTGTTGTTAGAAGCTGCACCCACAGTTCTAAACAGTGAATGTACTGCCAGTTGTATACAGCTTGACATGTATTTTTCTTTTTCACCGAAATGGCATTTCTCAAATGTATGGCCAACTGACGAATATAAACAAAGGCATACTGATATCCAACAGTTTGATCAATTGTAAATATTTCCACCAATGATTTTTGCATGAAATTTATTTGAGGCAAAGTAGTTGGAGATGTAAACTTACAGTTGCTTACATAGGCCATGTACATTTGTTTTAAAGTTGACTCCAGGACACTATCCTGCCTAAGGCGAACAAGTTTATTGATGCAAAGAAATGCTAAGACTCTACTTGTCTCTTCGCCAGTAGTCCACATGTTGATCATTCTCTTCAGTAATAGTTTTGTAATTTTAGGAAAATTTGCATAAAAAATTATCAGTTTATGAACCTGTTTTAATATTGCATTCACCATTGCAGCTTCTGAAAGTTGTTTCAAAAGCTCAAGTAATGCTACAATATAAGACTTCACCAAAACTTTCAACTTTCTCCACCTCCCTGATTTTTCTGAGAGATTTCGTACCTCCGACAATGTTGGCAACTGTAACATTGTCTGAAGAGCAGGAACAATCTGTGTTAAGCACAATCTCACAATACTATTGAACACAGATCCTCCCTCAACTTTGTATTTTGTTTGAATCTCATCAGAACCACCAGCCTCTTGGACAGCTGAATGAAATGCAGAAACTACCTCTCGCAGTACAGATAAGGATGGTGCCGATTGCATTTCTCGTGTCCATTTTTCAATTGTTTTGTGATTCAAAATGATGCCACCTTTTTTAATTGCCTTTTCTGGAATTTCTTCTCCCTCGTCGTCAGTGCTAGCATCACTTGCAACTTCTAGTTTCTCTGGGAGTTCATGAACAACATCTGAATCAGACTCCTCTCCACTTGACATATTTAGCAGCTCCTTTTCAAATTCATCTTTTTCTGCCTTTTTCCGATTATTAGATGTATGCTCATCTTCCTCTTCAGTGTCTAAACTATCATCATTACAATCTGAGTCTGATAAATCTTCAAGATTTTCAAGTAAAGATTTGTCCTGTCCTTTTAAAAAGTCATAAAACTCTGGATCATTTTCTTGCAAAGTTGAAGCTAGAGATTGTTTTTCGGATCTCCCAGAAGATTTAATTATTACTGGTTTTGGTCTTGCAGCAGAGGGTGGCTTCGAGTTTATGGTACTCTTCTTCATTGCAGCATCAAGCTTTTTGTTAGTAATTTTCGTAATACCTTTCATTTTCTTTGGTTTCAATTCAACAGATTTATTTGACGATGATTCAGACTCGCTATCGCGGTATACGCCGAAAAATTCATCTATATTCATATCCTTCAACTTTTTCGTTGATGGTCGCATGCTGTTGTTGTGAGAGGCCATGTTGAAAGGAAGTTATGTAAAAAGTTTCTAAGGAATCGAAAATTAAAAAGTGAGAAATATAATTTATTTTTTCATAAAACAAATATCAATTTTTTTTAATTTGAAGAATTTAAAACATATTCACTTTTTTTTTAATTAATTTAAATGTTGTTGTTTTTTTCTTTGAGTTCATGATTTATAACGAAATTGCCTCCAAATTTTTGTCAACAGATTAAATAAATTGCATACTTTTTTGGTTTCATAATAAAACAGTGAGTGAAACATAAAAAAGAAAGAACATGAAGAAACAAAACAATCAAAACGAAATAAAGTTGAATAAAAATTGCAAGAACTTCGTCGTTTTAATAGACTTGGGATAAATCTGCCCGTCAAAAGGGGTCCCGTCAATAAAGCCTTTCACTAAAAAATCCCCCGTCATTTATGCTCTCGACTGAAGGGCCCCCGTCATCTATGCTCTCGACTGAATGGCCCCCGTCATTCATGCTCTCGACTAAGCCTAAGCGGCTCCGAAAATATGGGTCCGTCAATAGTAGGGTGCCGACAACATCATTGCTCTTGACAAAATGGCCCCGACAATATGTTTCCCGGAAAAGGAACCCCGAAAATAGATCTCAACAAAAAAACTACCCCACCCCCTTTTTTATTTTTGGAAAAAGTCTATAGCAAAAACTGCATTATTAAGGGCATTGAACCACCTTGCTTGGGGTTCTTATAATGTAGGCTATGTGTTACATATTTAAGGTACCGGTATCTAGAATTTGCGCTAGTTACTATCATTTTTGGGTTTGCCTAACGTTTATCGGTTTAATAAATCTGATTTTAGACCAGTTAAAGGTTTTTACAATGCGTTGTCAACTGATCTACATGAAACGGTCAGATTGACAAATTTTATTAGATCGAAAGCAGCAAAACCGACTGCTGATATCTTATGGATATGTGTCCGCCCATAAAGTACGTCAGGCACTAGGAACAGGGGAGGGTGGGGTTCTAGAAAGTGTGAAAATGTTTGACATGTTGAGAGAGGTATGTTGAAGAGGTTTTTTTACAGCTATGCTGCGAGTTTTAGTGGCTTCCTACGGCAACATTTGTTTAAAGGGAGGCTAATTCCAGAATAATAAAATTTATAAAATGTATATTTATCCCCACCCGTTCTTCCATAATTCATCAGTTCAGATGGGTAGAATGAATATTATACAGAAAAATCTCTTCATGACCAAGGATAAAGCAGACTTTTGTCGCAGACTTATGTTGCCAATGTTGGCCAAAAATGCAAAAAAGTGACGCCTGGAGGCGAACCGTTCACTCAAACCCAACTACAGGCAAAGAGCTTATGTTTGCGATCGTGTTGCAGGTATTGAACAAGGTTCAAGTGTCATGTGCAGTCAATATAAATGATACAGATAGAGAAGGAATACGATATTTTGAGAACTGGGGGAAAGTAAAGTAATTAAAAATAATAACATCGCTGCTTGAGCGGATTTGCAAAATCTGTAACATCTTTTTTTGCATCACAAGTCATGTTGAAAGAGCATGTTCAACTGCACCGACAATGCATAAGAAATTACCACCTACTCCTCAACAAAAAAGGATTCGACTGATGCACGTAGCTGCCAGGAGACATAGAGAGATTATGGCAATTATTGCCCACACTGACAATGCCCCTATTTTAAGTGCTGAATTGTTAGATGAGGATGATGTTAACTTGTCTGGTATATCAGTTACGCAAGATGAAAATGATAAATCAGCTACTATGCCCATTGTTACGATAGAGCAACACCTCCCTGGGAAGATGATCACAGCTAGAAACTATGCTACAATTGTCAGCTATACTGACAATAATCATATTTCTACTTCCACAAACAATGATATTTATTATTATTTAGTAAAATAAATCAGCACAAAGTAAAATGTATTTATATATTTATTTATTTATTTGGGTGGGTTGGGGTTATACAAATGTTGACATAATCACCTGGGCCGGGGGGGGGGGTCATTGAAAGTTTGACAGTTGACAGGGAGTAAAAAATTGCTTTAAAATTGTTTACGTAATTAATGGAGACCCCCAAATAGATTGTGCGAAAAGTTAGAATACCATTTCTGGACCCGAGGTTCACACTTCACTATAATTAACTAAGGGCATTTAAAATATTTACTGGGCGCATTTTCTCTTCTTCTCGTTGGGTGGCACACACTATAGAAAATGAGAAGAACAACTCTATTTTGTAACACCTGTACTCGGACCTATACTTTTTTTTAGTTGATTATAATATTTATAAGCTATTATTCAATTTAAACATGAAATTTCAGGAAAATTATATATTTTATTCTTTCCCTATCTGACGCTTAAAATTTTACATAAGTTTACATTTGCTTAGGTGCAGGGTTGCTAGATTGGCCTTTTTAAAGATCAAAGTCCTCAAATTTGGCCTTTTTCAAAATGTTCTTGTTGCCTTTTCATTGCTCTTCGTCTTCTTTTCCACCCATCAAAATATGATATACTTTAAAGTTCAATAACATCCATTTCATAACATTTTTTTTTCGGGAAATTAATATCTTACACTTAAAAAGTACTCTTGTTGAGTAGACTTTTGCGACATTAGCAAAATATAACAGTGTGGCTCGAAAATATAGCAATGTGACTCCATTTACTTGTCTTGTCTCTTCCTTGACTATTGTGCAGATCAAAAGGGCATCACGATCAAATAGGAATGGCGCTATGAGAGTGTTTATTAAGAGTAAAGATGAACTGTCTTGTTGCCCAAACTCAAATGCGCATTTATAGGTGTTCATTCTATGTTAGGCTATATATTAACAAGTTTGCAGATGAAATTATCCCAATCTGGTCACTGCATATTAGAATTGTTTTCGAGTGGGTTTATTTTTTTACGCAAATGCTCCATGCGATGCATATTATTATGATAATAATAATAACATAAAGACTGGAAAGTTCGGATAAACGAAATTTCTTGAAAATTGTCGTTCGGAAAATCGACGCATTTTAACTTTATTATTATATCTTTAAAATATTAAAAACATTTGGAACTTTTTATTTTCTATTAGGTTTGGCCTCTTTTAAAATGTTGATCTGGCAAGCCTTCTTCCGTGTTTCGTTTAGTGACAGATCGTCTCTACCAAGTCTTGTGTTTCCGTTGTAAATTCAAGTTGGACTATACATTACACAAGTAATAGAGAAGGATTTTTTCATATCCACTAATTATATAATTGTAACAGAATTTAAGACCTGTTTTAAGTATTAAATTTAATTAACCTACGGAACGCCAATTTTTATTAGTACTACTACTAAGACTAAAATCACTAAACACAGTCTCAACTCAGAGTCGGATAATAAGACTCTTATGTCAATCATGAGCAGAGCATGATATTGATATTGATTGACAGAAATTGCAGCAAATAGGTCTATATTTACTTAATTTTTAAATATCCAATCATTATTACTCATGTTACTGCGTACCAGCACTTTCCCAATATTGAATAGGTACTTTAATATAAATTTTAAACAAATTGAAATAATTTTTTAAAATAATACAGTTATGAGTTAGTTAGAGTAGAGCAAATTCCAAATTAAAAAAATGAAACCAGAATCAACTTTTTAGCTTAATTACTTTTGAGCTATGAATTTATTAAGTGTGAGTTCGTTTGGTATTTTTTACTATGGATGAAACCTCCACATCTTGTGACCTCATTCCGCTGATTACATCATGCGCAATGTCTAGATACTTTATATAAGGCAACGCATCCCCTATCACTAAGATACTGTTTAGGGTCGAATTAGTTTAAACTTTCAACTTTGGCACATGAATAATTAATTAAAGCTTTCCCTCACCAATGGTTTAATAGTTTTTGCACACAGCAAACTCTTATGAATGAAACTCTGAGGTAGTACTACGATACAGCCAATACAGCCATTATGCAAGTGGCTGTGAATGGTTGCCAATGACAACGTGTTAAACACCGTAAATTCTGATCATTTATAATATGACTCTACCGGGTTGTTAAAGCTCAAATTAAAATATTCCAGTTAAAATTCTTCAAAATGCATTCTGAAACACAAGTTATCAAATATTTTGATGTAAATAGTTGTAATAAATTAATATTTCCTAAGTTTCGGCAACTTCCGCCATTAAAAAGGGGGCGTGGCCCACGCCATGTCGAAATTAGGCTGAGCAAACTGCATGACCTGCTGCGAACCCATAGAAACAAGGCGTCTCTCGTAAAACACATATCGCTGTGAAAATTGACATACATGTAGATCAATACATGCCCCAGGTGCATAAAAAATTTGGTAGTGACATGTCTTTTACTTCAACTAAATTTTAATGGTCGAAGTTGCCTTATATTTACCAAGGATTTTCTCAAAGCTGACTGATTGTAAATGAATAATAAATTGATTAATATGTAGACCAAGATGTCCTCTAAAGCGAAAGGCCGGAAGAGGAACACAATTCTGGGATATAGTAATTATTTTATGAATGAAATAGTTCCACTATAAAAAAATTAAAAACTCAGATTCTCGCGCGCCGACGCCTATTTCCCATACAAATTTTTTAGTAGTCTCCCTTGCTTCATCGAAGTACCTACTATCAGTATGCTGGGTAGGCTACGGGTAGGTACTTCTGTAAAGAAATTAAATTTTAAAATTATAAAAATATTGGCCATGGCGGTGTACCTAGCAAAACCATGGACTTTGGCCTGCGTATACTGCGGTGGTGTACCTAGCAAAAACATTGGCTGTGGTCTGTGTACACTGCAGCGATTTAAGCAGAAAAACCATGGTCTTTGTGAGTCTTTTGACTTTTTTGGCCTAGCCGGTACTAGTAGAATTAATGCTAGACTATTCTCTTGCTAAAATGTAGGTACCGGTATTTTGATTTTTAAAAAAAAATTTTTTGTAAAAAATAAACAAATGGCATAATTGAGTAGCTAATTTTTTTTTACAAAATTATAACACCAATATCATATTTTTAGCTGTTGTAGTTTTAAAGTTATTAATTTTTAAAGTACGACTTCATTTGTCCTTTTTTAACATGGACCGCATCTCCACATTCTTTGACGCTATATGCTATTCCGCTTCTCTGGTCACGAGCTATATAACTTGTTTT